CTAAATTTTCAAATATGATATCCATCTTGATCCTTTCATCTATTGATACTTCCAATTTCCTTCTCGAATTTTGTTTTCCGCACTCAAACACGTGGCCTACATTCTGTTGGCAACCCATAACCTGTTGATTTATTTTTTTACTTAAAGTAAAATTAATAGTTAAGTAAGAAGTAGAAAAAGACGAGAACAAAGGTATCGAACAAGTGGTCTTGAAACTTGAAAAAATGCCGGAATAAATATAGGTAAACACTAAATCGTTTTATTTCATTCCCTTCGTCTGGAGTACACTCTGTTAACAGCATATCTTGTACAGAAATAATGAAACATCGCGAAAGGTGGGGTATCCAAACGGAATATATATTGAACGTACTATAATTATCGGTCATTTACGCGATAAAATGGTACTCAAAAGTACCAGAAGGCCATTGAAAGAAGAATCTTCGTACGCCATATAGAGATCATGGAAAAAGGGAAGGAAAAAGCAGCGCGTGTTAAAATAATTCTTCGCGTTGCTCCTCTTCGCATTTAATCCCCTAAATGGCCATCCGATCCTTTGTTACACGGCTAATTCGCATTGGGTAATTAACCGAGTTCGTACGCTGATGCAAGCCTCGATCCATATTCTATCGTTCCCCATGCAACCAGCTTATCATATATGACATCGATCACATACACTATCCGCAGAAAGTTTGGAAGCAGGGCGATTCTTAGAGATCGTAACGAAGTTAAGCAAAATATTTCTCGTACTAATGATACACGTTAACGTGGTGACCTGGTAAATGGTCATTCTGCAAATCGATAGTTCTTACTTGTTTCAACACCGATGCGAATTTTAATGCCAAGATGACATTCGTCGTACCATTCGTCGCATTGATTTTCAAAAAGTCGCGGATAGACAATTAAAAAGAATTGAATACGCATCTACGTGCAAAAATAAATCGAAGAAAAAGAAAGAGATTTTTTCATTCGAGGCCTCGTTTCTGAGAAAATAGATCTCGAAGATCTGCCGGATACACGCGGTTCTGTGGCGTAGCCCGTTCAATATGGCTGCCGCAGCACGGTGCACGCTGTCAACTTTGATCTCGATTTTCTCGAAAACGGGACCTCTGACGAAAAAATGTTATTCTCTCCGTCCGATCAATTTTTACTCGTGGAATACTCCTGTGCACTTTTTTTTCCGCCCATTCCGAGATACCTGATAACAAATAAATAGGAAAATGAATGCAGAGAGACGCTGGTACTTCGAAACTTTTTGTTTATAGTGTACAGAGTAGCGTACAGCATACCGATTTGCCAACGAGAACGTATCGACACGGAACAGAGCGTTGGTTCTCCAACGCGTTTCTGCTCGTTTAGGTTCGGTTTCGGGGCACAACTCACGCGCATCACTGGTCGATTCGTGCAGGGGAATATTTATCACGAATCGCGAACAGCTTAATCCGGAGAGAAATGATCAGAAGTATATTAATTAACGTCACGACAATTAGTAGCCATTAACTCGGTGAATCGCTCTATGCTCGGTTAATTGTCGAGTTGATTAATGAACGAGATTAGACGTACCAGGACCGAAGCGGAATTCTAATGAACCCACCAATGATACTCCATTGCTTTCGTTTGAGCTGGTTTATGTTCGTTTATGTTCCGTTTATCCGAATGTTCGACGCTTCGAGATTAACTCCTGTAATCCCATGGATCGATTAGGAGCTATCGATTGATCGATACTTTTTCAAGTAAAATGTATTCGTTTCGAAACGATACATAAATTCGAAATAATGGGTGAAGAATTTTCGTCAACGAATCGTGTTTATGGTGATTTTTCATCGTTCCACAAAAGTCTTTTCAGCCGGTTCAAGTTCTATGGATCTAGGATCTGTTTTAAATTAAATTAACGTACGTTCGTATCCTGTCACGTCCAATCTATTCGCAAGTTTACAGGAAAATACCCGCAGTCTGTTAAACGATCAGAAAAATATGCGATCTCGTATTTCCTCATTGAAATAAAATTATGGCAACTTCGTGGAAAATATCGAATCGTACGAATTCGCGGTATTCCTAACTCTCTATTAAAAGTTACTCACGCTGTAACAGTGCGATAATAAAATACAAACAAACGTCGTATAAAGCTTTCGTATTTCATAATATCGTACAACATCAACAACTGTTAAAACTCGTTTAAACAGAATGCATAGCGGTCACGTGTACTGCGTTAAAGAGGATTTAAACGATAGAACAAACATTTAGGCCCGTTTTCAAACTTGCAACGTCGTGTTACGAATATCTTTATTACTCATGTTCGCGAACAAAATAAATCGTGGATTTATATAAATTAGTGAATGGAGTGGAGACATTCAGTTTTCCTAAAACACGAATTGCTTGTCGTGTATATACAGGGTGAAATATGGGAAAAGTTTCGGTTTCATTTCATTCTCCTTTTTATTTTTATTTCTTTTATATATATATATGTTATTTGCATATTCATCTTTAAACACACAGTGCAACAGCACGTTTCACCCCGTATATACATACTTTTGTAAATCGATTTCAAGCTTCCTGAACTCGTCACTCGTCTTAAACAATATTATACTCTTTCCTTCGAATACTATCAATTGGTCGCTCGAATTTCATTCGCAAGGAATAGCTACTGTCAGTGGAAGTAACAGTGTCTCGAATAACCAATACCGAAGTAGCTCTTATAGTAACTTTAGGATCGCACATTAGTAAATTACTATATAATTCTTCCGTAAAATTAGTTATATAATTTTATCTTACACTTATGTATATCATGGATCTACGAATCTTCGCATGGAACCATCGCGATCGAGAAGAATGTTTGATTTCTTACTTCGAGAATTAGGTAGCGAGAGATTTTCCTTTAAATTCGAACATCTTCGTCAAATGAGTAATTATTAAATAATTACAGGTACAACATTAACATGGCATTAACATGTTATTAACCTGTTATTAACCTTTGAAATATGTTAATCGTTCGTTTCTAACGTAATGCTTTATGCTGATTATGGTACCGACTGTTTTCGTGCAGCACATTTCTATCCTTTGCTCAGCTTGACGCATCGAGAAACGTTTTTAGATTGAGAAGTTCGATGTTCATTGGAAAAGAACGCGTCCAATGGAATTTGTGCGACTGGAGATAACGAGAATATGCTTTCAACGGATTCTGTTACAAAATTCTTTTCCTTCCCCAGATATAAAAATACCGAGCAAAGTATCACTCGTCGAAATGCAAAACTGAAAAGTCTTAGCTTGAATTTACCAAGGAGCAAGTAATTTTTCTGTGATTACATTGGCTTCGAATATTATTTCGTTCTTTCAAACGCGAAACAAGCAGCGAGGAAGTTAAAACGAGAGGATGAGAGAAATTTTTTCATGAATTTCAACATATTTCTAAAACTTGGTCGACTAGAAAAATGGTCGCAACGGTGTCAACGTTGAGGCACAAAATTTCGTTATCTATAATTCAACAGATTTACCTGTTCAGCGATCGAACAGATCACGTGGTTTACAAAAATTTCTTCGTGCGTCCCGAAAAGTAGGCGTTCATTGGACAATAAAAATTCTGGTACAAACTCTGGTACAAAGTGGTTCGCGCAAAATTTTCGTTCAACTTCGCTAAAACTTGCGTGTTAATCTTAGGTAGAGTAATAAAGAAGATCTTAGGAAGAATAGACGAACGTTTCGAATGCGTGAGGATGGAGAAAAACGAAAAAGAAAATTCATTTTCTCGTTAGTATAGAGTATATATTTACGGTCGTTGTAGCTTTTCGTTTCGTTTAAAAAATTCAATGGAGACCCCATGGATCCCGATCCTCGACATTTCGAAACGTTCGTTCACCGGATATAAATATAGGTCTCTTTCGACAGTTGTTTCGCATCTCGCAAGAAATATCTTCGGCGTTTATCTGGATATTCTTTTCTTCGCGGATCTACACGCTCTAATTTCGTCAGAATCGCTTTTATTATTTTAAATCGCTCTTTTCCTCGCTTAATACCATCCGAACTATCAACTAAACTACGTTTATCGTGTTCAATATTCGTTCGTAGGAGCATCGCGAGCGGACATCGCGATAGAAAAATATAGACCTCTTTGAGTAGCTGCCAGAAAACTAGCTGCTCACTACCACAGTAGCGTAACCTAGGTTTCGCGTCCAACTCGTCTTTGTTCTCTCTCTTTTTCTAAATAATACTTCTTTCTATCTGGTACCAGTATCGTTTAGCATAGGAGGAACGAGGTCGCTATTTCGATTGCAGCAGTTACTCGAATTTCACTCATATACCGTCGCGTATCGTTGTTTCCTTTCTCTCTTGAATTTCTAATTTTGAAATTTCGAATTTCAAAGTTTCGTCAATTAAAAGTTCCAATTACATTGACTCGTGAATTAGTTCGAATCGATTAACACATTAAACGCCACGCCGGTGCCTAGGGACCGGTGCTACCCGTTCAGGCTCGGAAGGGCCCACATGACGGCTAATTGTGGCGTGAACGAAACGGCACGTAAAACCGGCGTGGCGTTTAACGTGTTAAACGTTTCGCAATCGTGAATTGCAGTACTTCTCCACGACACTCGTCTCTTTTCACTTTCACGGTTGGGCTAAAGGAAACAACAATGACGGACAGTTTCTTTCGACAACTTCTCAAGCTGAACAATGAGAACATCGAGCACCACTGCTTGTCCGACTCCGATTATTAAATCCCGTTAAAAATACTACACTTAGGATAATTACAATTTACGACAGCGGAAAGGAAAGCCGTTTACGGTGATCATGTTTGATTGAGGAAACTGTTGTTCTTGGTGATCAATCCGGCGCTGCTCTCCGACATCGGTATTACTGCCAATTTCTCTCCCTTTGGTAATTTCGGATGCGACTTTATGTTCGGTTTCAAGCCCTTCAGGATATTCTGAAAAAGCGAAAAATCAGAGATCGTTAGAAATCCGTTGAAATAAATCCTCGATAGTGCAACGCGATTGGCTTTTCGAATATTTATGCAAGAATTAAAAAATCGAACGATGAAATTTAACACGTTGCTGTCCTTTTCGTTCAGTCGGCAGCGAGCGAGCTTTTAAGGACGAGCACTTGGGCTATTGGGATATTTGAGACGGTTGGAATACTTTGTTTCTATAAAATGGTATAAAAAATTAGCTATCGAGCTTTTTCTAAATACTGTTATTATTATAAATGCTCTGTTCATGTTCGAAGAAGTAACGAGGAAAAAATATCAGTCACGTCATTTCGAAGACAATTGGTGGATGCACTTACACAACGATCAAAGAAAGAAATTCCTATGCATATTGATAAGAGAATCGTTCACCAATTACAAAAAAAGGAAGGAAAGGATCACAAAATCCAAAGATATTGTTCGGGATGTTACAATAAAAATTCAACGCTATTCGGATGCAAGATAGCTAGAAATTTAACTGAAAAAGTCATCACGTTTTGTAATACATGCAAGATCAAATTAAATTTTTGTTTAGAGTGTTCCAATAAATGTCATTAAAATTACTGCATTTATTTTTTAGCTTTGATACTGTCGGTCCCCAGGGACCGAAGCCGGGCTCAACGTGTTAAGGATCGAAGAATGTGTCTATTTCAAGATATCGAACGCGTGTTTGCGATTTATTTCGTCCCTCTTATCTCGCATGCTCTCGAGAAGCCGTCGTCCAAATTGAAAATTCTTGTAGCGACTGGCGCAGACAAATGTTTCACCTCTTTGATGGATCCTGGAGTGACGATGACGTAATAGAGAGCATAACCAGGAATCCAGATCATGGATGACAAACTGAGGCAGACACCCACGACCTCCGCCCATGCCGGATACTCGTAATTGCTCCCGTATTTCAATGGCGTGTACTGGACACATTGGAACACGAAGATGAACTAGAAAAGAAAGAGAAGCGCGTAAACGTTGGCCAAACCGATTCCGAAATGCATCAAATTGGAATCTCGAAATAGATTCGCATTTAAGCCTTTTCACTCGGGGAACTTTTTAATTAGCGAGAAGCTTTACGAGAGTTACAAAAACTTCTTTTTAACTTTGCGACACACAGGATTTCAGATAATAAATTAGACCTATGTTGCATAGAAATTTTATTGTTGAATGTTGAATGTTGCCAATACATTTATAACAATTGTCAAAGGTAGTACGAACGGCTTCACGTAAATATTGCAATATGCCAAAGTGGGGCTAAAAATGTCCCAGGATGCATTAGGGTGCATCAAAAACGTGGGACACTTTTAATCCCAGCGTGCCCCAAAGAGTTAAAAAGAAAGGAAATTATAAATATCCGTGAATTTATTTATACAATAGCTTCGTTCGCTTTCGCATGTCTGTAGACGAAATTAAAATCAAATAACGAGAAGCATGATTTATCAAAATCTGCATAATGGCGTCCATGGAGTGGAAACGGTTGAACTTTAGCCTGAACGCAACTGGATTCGAAAGTTGCTTCATTCTTCACGATAACCATATTTATAACCGAAGCTCGCGAAGCGGAATTATGAACCTCTTCTGTTCTATTTGTCTATGCGCGGCTTTATCAAGCTTTCTTCAAAGCTTTCAAGTAAGAGCGTTAAGTAAAACGAAGAATATCGATCATGGTGTAAAGTAAATGAGCGATTCCTCGCCAGGACAGAGATAGAGCGCGCTGTCGTCCGTTTTCCAGGGAATTACGATCTCGACAGAATTGATCGATGGCATTATTCTTCGCGGGGAATAAAAAAGAGAAATAGATACGATCTTTTATCGTACGTTCCGTGAATCAATCTTCGTATCGTCGTAGATTTAGCTGGAAAATTTATCAGAGAAATCGATCTCCGCGATGGAGAACGACGTAATCGACGAGAGAAACAAATCATGATGAATTTCTTTCGTTGGTTCTTTCTCTTCCTCGAATTTTGCCTGATACTCACAGCCATGATCACAGGCGCGAACACCACCCAGCAAATGTACCAAAACTTGCTCAATCGTACGCCCATCATCTGATGAATGCAGTCGCAGAATTTCTTCGCTCCGAATATCCACGATATCGCGATCGTTTGGAAGAAGCAAACCCACAGAATCGACATACCACTCGCCGAGTAGAAATCCATTAATTGGAATATATAAACTCCACCCTGAAACGATAGGCGAACTTTTTTAATCGTCTTCTTCTTTTGGTCGAAGAAAATATTTTACCAACCGTAAGCGATTTTTTAAATAAATTCGTAAGGATCTAAGGGTTATTAGTACGATATCGCGAGCTGGGAAGGACTCTAGCAAAGGAGATAATATTAACACTAAACTTATCACGACCTGAAATAACCGGTAGATGAAAAAATAAAAGAAGATCCTTAAAAAAGAAAAAATATTTTGAAAAGGAAAATGAAAAATTAATTTATATGCGTATCGGAAGAAAAATCGTGGAAACAAATAATCAAAGCGATAACTTTGAGTGCGGAATTTTTAATGAAAATTTGGAATTGCTCAGTTGAAAATTTGGAATGCCTCTAGTCGAGATGTAGTAAGTAGAGAATCGTGTGTTTGAGAGTTAGCGTGATATTTTAGTTTAAATAAATCTGTCTTGTTATTAAAAGGGAGTCGTTGTTTATTAGACGCGCAGATCTCTGTCTGCATAGGAATAATCTGGCAATAATCCTACGTTAGGAAGAAACGAAATGTAGATACTCACGTTGGTCACCATGGGAATACCCAAGAGGAACATGAGAAAGCAGATTGCGACGGTAAATTTCTTTCTGTGTGGACGAAGCTGATCCGGCCAATTATCCACGACACCCGTGATGAAAGATTCCACGATACAGAATTCGCTGTCGATCCCGAGTATCTGTTATAGAATAAAAGAAATGTGCATCTTTAATTGTATCTCTTTAATAACTTCTAACACTAAACCTACCATACCGGGGAAACGACCAATGGGTGACGAAAGGAAATGCATCTTAAAAACAAAATGAAATAAAAGGAAATATCGAACAATTAATTATACGTATGTCAAAATCACCAAGTCGAGTGACCAAAGTGATAACAATGAATGCGAAATTTTAAATGAAAATTTTATAACTGAAGTATTAGTTAATTTAGGATTAGTGTTAAAAATGCTAAATAAATTCTAAAATAATTCTACGTAACTCTACATAATTCTACATAATTCTCTGGATTGCGATGAGACATTGATCACGAAAGAAGCAGAGTTAAGCGTTCCTTACGAGTAGCATGATGAAGAAGATCGCGGCCCACATGGATGCGCCGGGTAACTTGAGGACCACTTCCGGGTAAGTGAGAAACACCAGACCCGGTCCACTCTTCACCACTGCGGATACTTCTGTACCTTGTTCCAAAGCGATATGGCCCAGGATAGAGAAAGTGACGCAACCGGCCAGTAAACAGGTCAGCGTGTTCACTATGCACGTGATCAGAGCGTCTCTGAAAGAAACGAGCAATGTTCGAAGAAGGATCGTTCAAGGATTGGAGACGAAGATCGACACGCTTACTTGTAGCAATTATGATGGAACTTGTTGTACGATCCGAGAGCAGGCAGGGCCCCGGTGCCGATACTGTAGGCGAAGAAAATTTGTGTGGCGCCGTCGATCCACGGGCCAGGCGATCGCAATTCGGCCCACCTCGGCGTGACGTAGTACAGCATGCCCTGGTAGCTGCCGTCCAATGTCACCGCTCTTTGCTCTTCCCAAAAGAATGAAAAGCACCACGTAGGGGAACAAGGCTGAAAACCAGACGATCTTACCGCTCTGATGCAGACCACGTCGGATGATAAAGTAAACGAGCAGCCAGCCGATCACCAGGCAACCGAACAACTCCCATTGCATGCCACCGATGTTTTCGATGCCGGAGGTCATCCCAAGAACTCGTCGTCTGAAATTGTTCAAAGTACCAAGGTACCGAATTCGTGAATCGTCGAAGCCCGATTTTATTTAAATACTTGGGAATAAAATAGCGAATTTTTACGTACTCCCAGTACTGCTCAACCGGGGTTGCATGGTGAAACGTGATGTTATGGAGGGTCGAGTTGGTGGTATTTATGGCGATAGCGTGGTTCGATGGCTGGGTCTGTTCGTAGCCATCGTAGCAATTATTATCGTTCCACACATTGCCTGTAAAATATCGTTGAATATCAATTTAGAGAGCGACGAGGATGAAGAGACTGCTTCTCGTTAACCGTTCGACTAACCACAACTCTTCCAAGGTACGCTCGGTATCTTGACGAAGCTACTTATCAAGTATAAGAGCGTCCAGGCTATGATGATGCAGTAATACACGTCTAGGAAGAATACGATCGTCATAGTGGCATATCCAACTCCTAGAAACATCATTTTTTGATTATGATTCGAAGCAAGTAGATACTGCATTTCTGACGCTTTTTAGAAGATATCTAGGGAAAGTAACTTTTATCTTACGATACCTTGCAAGAGAGGACATAATTGACCCACCAGGGTCATCCCTCCGGCACCAAGGTACTGGCCAATGGCCACTTCTTGGAAGAATATCGGGATCCCGCAGAATAGCATGGCGATTCCATATGTGATCAGGAAGGCACCTGTAATAGCATCGCAAAGCTCGACGGTTAACACGTTAACACGTTAAGTGCCCAGCTCGTTTTGTTTAACATTCCGTTCAGGTCCAGACTGTCGACTGTCAAGTGGGTCACTAGCAGCTGGCAAAGTGTTCATAAAACTTAGAGATACTGTACCAATTGTTGTAACAGGAATTTTCAAAACGTTAGGTCCAAAGATGGCGAAGAATTTAACACCAAAAGTTAGCACCTTTTGGTCCTAGTCTGGGCCGCTCCCCGAGGACCGGCCGGGCCCGAACGGAAAGTCCAGCGCCGGTCCCTGGTGACCTGCATGGCACTTAACGTGTTAACCACTTGCGCTACGATTTAACTTTCAGTTGCCGTGCCGCGCTCTACAATATAACATGCGGTAAGGTGTTACATTGACGTGGTATACACGTCGCTGGCGGCTTTGGAACAAAAGCATTTCGACGTGCGTGGCACGTCTTTATAGCGCAAGTGGTTAAACGCCATGTCGGTGCCTAGGGACTGGCGCTAGACTTTTCTTTCAGGCCTCGCCGGTCCGTACGGCCCGGAAGGACCCGAATGACAACTAACTGTGGCGTGAACGGAACAGCACGTAAAACCAACGTGGCGTTTAACATTGTTAAAGTTTGTTAACAAACTTTTGTAAGAGTATGTAAGAGTATGAGAGCTCCGGTTACCGATAAGGCAGCGTGAGTGACGAACACGTCGCAGTGATAACCGAAGTCACAAAACGAAACGGCGATTCGCTTGATCTGCGTGGCGGATTAACAAAGAAGGCCCACCATCAAATGGGCAGCTCTAGAAGCGGACCGCGGAGTTTTGTACGTGAGAGACGAATATCGTATCTAACGGAATCCGAAAGTATTATCGGCCACCGAGTGATAGACTCATTAGCCTCACTTAGCTCTCTCATCTCCTGCCTTTACACTTTGAATCTAGTTACTAACCAGGAACTCCGAATAAAGTGAAAGTCATGCATGTCAGAAGGGCAAATTTCGAGAATCGCTGAATTATAACAGGCGAGAAATGGAAAATCCAGAAACGAGAAGAGGTGTACTACAAAGGAATGAAAATCTCGGTCAATGACTCTGCGAAACCTCAAAAGATTACAAGTTTAAAATCCTCTGTCTTCCGATTCCCAAAGATTCCGTGACTCTCCTGCGATCTCAACTGTGATCCGATCAACTCAATATCAATCAGTTTCAATCATGGAACCGAAATTTAACGAGGCTTGCACGTTTTTCGCGCGAACTGTCGTAATTCGCTAACAGCGATTGCCAGCGAAATTGAATTGAACGTTCAACCCATGCCCTACGTCAACGTTCTACGCGATTACTGGATTAATCCTAGACTAGCAGCTGCCGGACTCACCTCCGCCGTTCTTGTAACACAAATACGGGAATCTCCAAACATTTCCAAGGCCCACGGAAACGCTGATGCAAGAAAACAGGAAGTCCAGTTTATTATCCCAGCCTCCTCGTTCCGTGTCCTCTTCACGGTTCTCCATTTCCGTCACCCTGTCCTGCGCCGTCGAAGTCGTCGTCTTTGGAACCGCGTGAGACGAATCTCTTCTTCTACTCGAACCGACGGACTTGGCTTTGAATTCTATGAAAGTTTGATCCGGATCCACCTGGTTCTTCTGCTCGCCCCAGTAATACATCTTCTCCGCCATGATTGCTGAAATCACGCGTTAATTCCTGGGTATCTGCGACTCCGTGGCCTTGAACATGGTTCACGTGTCACAGCCAGTCTCGCGTAATCGATCGTAATTGGACTGGGGATTACGTAAAAGTGTCCTGCATGCGCGGAGCCATTCGGCTGGACGATGGGACGTGACAGGGGTGGAATATATGGGTTAAGGGACATAATTGGAGGTGGTTATGCGGGGAGTTCGCCCGATGGTTACATCGCGATCTTCGAATAATTTGCATCGTAGTTTCCACAGAGTATTTTTTTCTTCTTTTTATTTTTCTTTCGTTAAGCACAGCTATAGATTTCGAGGTTCTTCGAGCGTAGGTCGCGCGTAGGTGGCATCGACCTTCTCACCACTTTGCAATTCTTCCACTCGACTTTATTTCGCGATTTCCTAACGGATGGATCTCCCATTCGCGTTCGAATGGAAACTCAGTTTCGCGTACTTCCAATCTTTTTCATAGCCAAGTTCCCGTGATAATCGCTGTAATTTTTCTAAATTATCCCCTCGTCTCGGTGAACATTTTTCACAAACGCGGAGTCGCGAATTTTGGACCGTTTCTGTTAGGAGCTTCGCGAAATACGCTTTCCGAACTGTCACGAGGCGCGACAAACACGTTTGCAGCGGCGGTTTGCTTGTTTCGTAGCATAGCGCGGTTGATTTTCTCGTGGTTGAACGAAAATCGATTTTCAGCCGATAAACAAAACAGACGCGTCGAGTTTCCGCGTTGCTTCGTGGAAATTCAAGCTAATAGGCACTCGGGTGCCTGTCGCTTAAAGCAGAATCGATGTTTATTGTCAGGTGAATAAGTAAAGGAAAGGACGCGTGGCGGTGTGGGAGAGTGGATAAAATTTTAAGGTCGAAGTGGAAAGTTTGATACCTGTGTCGTTGCAGCAGCAACTGCAAGCACGGAGAAACGGGTAAGAAGTATTGCATCATGTAGTGCATATACACGTTGCAGGCTATGTAACAAGTAGTACGAACTAAAATTCACGATTTCAGCCCTACTTATAGCTCTGCACTTTTGCTATGTATAATTCGACATTTCTTTGAAGCCGAAACGATATTTATTTATTTATTTATGGATTAACACTAGATCTACCAACCCAGTGAAAATGACTGGTCCCAGAATTTTCCTTTTTGCAATCACCGAACACATACACCTGCTTTAAGAATAAAATTGGTATCAACTCGTATTAAGAAAGAACTGTAATCAGTATATTCACTCATATTCATCGTACCGCTGAAATTACTATAATCTGTGCACGTTATAGTTAGGTACCCATTAAAGATCGGTAGTTCTAGTGCTAAAGTCCACATATACACAAGTAATATAAAGAATATCTATATAAGATGTTGAAAATAAGATACGTCTTAACGTATCGAATATACAAAAATCCTTTGATTCCTTGATTCCCTATATTTGCCAATCAAATATATCCCTACATTAATTTCACCTCGAACTCGCCTAAAAGCTACACGTCTCTACGACCTACCCATATTTTGAGTCAACTTTCTCGAATCCCGTACTATCTTTCACGAAGGTACGAGAACATATCGCGGAATTTGATCAATTTTAAGATCATGGGCGAGCACGTTCTCAATTTCGTTATACTTTCAACGCATTTAGAACGTCTGCCGATATTCCAAGCGATTCGTTAGTGCTGTAATCGTCTGACGAGATGCGTCTTCCAGTTTCTCATCCTAATACGAATGCTGTTGAAAATAAGATACGTCTTAAAGTATATACAAAAGTTAATCTCTCAGGAGAAATAGATATATCTTTAAACTATGCGCCAAAGAGGTTCCGGGAACGGGTGAAGTGTTTATTTCACACGTTAGATAAGAATTAGGGGACTAGGACAAACTGCAATCGTAACCCTTTTTCTTCACTCTAGTTTTGACTCTCTACGCGAACAGTCAGAATACTTGTGATATGCCTTCCTTAGAAGAGAATAAAGATAATTATAAAATACAGATAATTATTTCTTTTTACCCATAATCCCAATATAAGAAATCTAATAAAAAATACGGCGATGTTCAAGCAGCCCTATATTACCCTTTGCACTCGAGGGGTGACCTTCAGTCACCATTTCATAAAATTTGGAAGATCGATATTAATTAATATAACAAATTTAATGTAATTTAACAGTGTGCGAAGTATCGAAGTCAAATAATTCTACAATTCTATTATTATACAATTTTTTATTTACTGCTCAGAAAAGTATCGTCAGTTTTTTGGTAGAGAATCTTTCAATTTCTACTCTTCTCTAGCCAAAAAATCGTCGAGTGCAAAAGGTTAAATTCAAATTGTATTCGTGTCTTTAATTCTAAATATATTTCGTAATATCGATCCAACTCTGCTTAAACGATATAATTAATATTTAATAATCCTCGATATTTCCCCTTTCCATTATTTTATTTTACTTTCCACTTCATACCGCATATCAATATCATATCAAGGAATTTATATACCGGCATAAATAAATAAATAAATAAAGGAATAAGGAAAATAAAAATCTAGAGTGTCGAGTAAAGAAAGGGAAACTACTATTCGCGTTGTCTATTTATAAGAGAAAAAGTTTCCACGCATTCTAATGGAAAACCGTTAGTTTCAATTGCAACTGGAAATCGAAATGGAAAATCGAAACGCCAAGTCTGTTAATTTACTCCGATTCGATTGTTCCGCGTTGTACCGTATATAACGATCAGAGTAATTTCGCGTGTAGATTAGTTACGGGGAACGAAAACACGACGTACGTAAATAATAAATTTAATTACCGTCAGGCTGATCGCGATTCCAGATTTTGTTTCGACGTTGCGTGCGACGTTTGCGTACAGGCAATTCCAACAAACCTTTCAATTGGCGCCTCCATCAATGTCACGAGTGTGTCACGGTAACCTTTATTCTGGTTAAATAGCGTTTCATTCACTGGTTCCAACGTCAAGAACGGGGCTCTTATGTAAATAGGAAACCACCGTGCGAGTCGGTGATGGAAAGCGAATTACAATTGGCCGGTGAACATAAAGTTCCCGCGTTTCATTGTTCGCGATCGAGATTATAAAGATGAAAGAGAAACGCAAGAGGAATTGAAAGATCCATAACTCGCGTGCACAAATTACAGTGAAAACCGGATAAGCTAGAATAAATGCATACGTGAGTTAATACAGTGCAAAGTAAATGAACGCGTGAGTATTATGTTGGGTATCCAATTAAGTTTCGAAGTGTACTTGGTACTGGTGCAACCACTCGGTACTTTGCTCTAAAACATTTTCCAAACTTTTAGCCGGCTAAACCGCTATAATCTCGCAACTTTCGCGGGTATTAAAAGAGGAGAAGAGAGAAACGTAAAATCGTAAAAGTGGAAAGGATTTTTAAATTCCGTGGAAACGATATTACCGCATGCGGTGATTCACATTTCCTGGAAACAATTGCATTTGCGAAGCCGCGTGATTCTTCCCAAATTAAGTGGAACGTATCAGTGTTTCAGCGTAATTCACAGAAACCCGCTGACTAATTTTAATTATTCGAAGGAATTAAAGAATTAAGGAATTAATGAGAACTGGAGGGTGAAAAAAGGTTCTAATTTTAACACATCTGCTACCACGCGTCCTGGTGTCCTCTGCATAATAAACTCGCACTGTGTGTCGAACATTTTCACTTTAGACGTATAAAATATTCAGAAGGGTGTCGTAGTTTCCATTCACTTTCGCTTCGGCTCTAAACAACGGTAGCTCTTTGTCGTCGCTGCTTATGACAAGTAATCTTTTGATATGGAAATGTACCGGGTAACGGATCCTTTAGTTACGTTTCTCGAACAGCTGAACTTCACTCTCGCTTACTCTTACCATCGGACCCATATACACTACCCTCGACAAAATTTCCAGCCGAAAGCACCGATACAAAATTATTCAAAATTACTGTAATTCTTTACACGCGAAGTGCTTCGTGTCCAGCGACTCTGAAGACACAGAAAATGTTACGAATGACAAATCGATTGGGCCCAAAAATATAAGCAGAGGACAATCGGAAATCGATCTGGTTCGAAGTAAAAACAAAAAGAGAAAATATTTTAAACCCTGTTTCGTCATCTGATTGAAAATAACGAACGACCGAGTTTTACCATTCTCCATTTTGCACCTTGAACTCTGGTTAAACGAGAAACGTTCGCGTAATAATAAGCACGCATAAGTTAATAGAGAAGTAGCAAACATCTGACACGAAAGGTGTAAAAATCGTCAACTCGATAGGGTTAACGATGAAATAAGTTAAAATTTGAAGAAAGGAGTATGCGTTCCACAAAGGCACGCAATTGCGCGACATATTGTTGCTCGGATCGCGCGTACGCATAGTTTCGCAGGGTCAACAGGATTGTACGCGGTGGTAGCGGGAATCGGTTCCTGCTCCTGCTGAATGGAAAAGTCCCCTTTCCTCGGAAGGGTCCGTTCCCGCGTGACGCGCGGCTCGCTGCCCTTATTACCGGCCCGGCGATTCAGAAGCGGCGAGCAGAAAGCAGGAGAAAGAGGGTGCACGTGCCCGCTGCCCTCTATGTAAGCACCTGTTCGTCTGTGTGTGCGCTTACACCCGTGTTTACGAGCTCTCTGCCCTGTGCTCGTGTGAGTCGGCACGCAAGCGCTTGCTTCCGCTTGTATACAAATACTCGTGCGCGCGCTACGGATGCTGAAAGCAAAATCAATAGCAAGGCTTCTTGTCACGTTACGCCGTACACGTGGATTTGTATATTCGCCTGATCGTTATCGTTTCCTTGCAAAAATTTATAGCATTTCCCCCTCTCTTTTTTCGACTTCCCGTTGATCGATAGATCGAGGATCGTTTGCTCGCGGGGATCGCGGATTCGGGTTGATCGAGGTCCAGTTTGACGAAGGAACAATCGGGTGGTTCACGTGGTTGGCGAAAAATAGCGTTAGAGATCGAAGGAAGTCAGCTCGAAGAAACCCTGGCAATGAGGGATGCGTTTTATCGAGTTGGTCGGCGACGGGATGGTTAGGAGACTCGCGTGTTCGTCGGGAAATGGGGAAATTGGACGGGAGGAGAGGATTGAGGAGGGTTGAATGAGATGAATCGATTCGACTTACAGAGGGTAGCTCACAGTCGTGAGATCCGATGTCACCGCGAAATTCACGTGCACTTCGATCAGGTCCGAGTCTCTGCGAAACGTGTCTTCGAATGGTTCACCTTCCTAGGGTAAATCTACGTGCTTGAAAAGCTGGAGACCTTGGCCCAGCGTCGAAGACGATGACTGCGAAGGAAAACAATCCGTTCACGCCCGACGCTGTAGCGTCGTGGACCACCGGCTCTGTTGGATCTGCCAGTCCACGAGTGTCCAGGTATTCGAGAAATCGAGTGTCGTTCTCGACGGATGTTGCTGGTACGATTAAAATGGCACACGATCGACGCACTTCCGGCTCCAAACTGGTTCTATTATGTCAGATCGTGGCGCGGTTGCCTCGTGTCGACCTGCCTTGCGAGGGGTGCCGTTACGGAATAATGCTTGGCCATAAGACGGGGAGTGTTACCCCCTTTGGAACGCATGCGCGGCCGCGAACACCCCCTCCAGAAACCTCGAAGCTGTCCTGGGGTTTGAGTCTGCAGGACTCTTTGCTTCGATAAATAATCGAAAGGGGTGATGAGAACGCTGCGGGATGCGGCTTCGATGTTTCGCTGGAATTATGCTTGCGCGAGTATCACGAGTGTCCTTGATTCATCCTCGTCCTCCCTCGTCGCCAATGGGAGATCGCACAGGGGAGATACTGTCGGTCGATTTTTCACCGATCTCGAAATTCCGAAAAATAATTTCCACGAGATAAGATTGTATCGAGATGTATGTCATCGATGTGTGTAAAATCGATCGCTCGCGAGAAGAGATGGAAAACGCGAGTTATGTCTCTCTCGTGGCCTCCGATTAAAAATGGGAATGCAAATGTGGAAAGCGAATCGAGAGGAACGTATTGGATTTAGGGGTGTTCGTTTCTTTGATCGAAACGTTAAACGAGAGGTTGGAACGTGACGGATGGGTAGCCCGAGGTTGTCTGAAATATTAGATAGGGGATGGAATTTTTTGCTGGAAACGGTTTATATTAGGCTCGAAAGGGATCCGGGGTGTTTTAGAGTATTAGAGGCAGGGTCGAATGCTAGGGGTTTGAGCGGGTCGGTTGTTAGACTGGTTCGAAGATCACTAACGACGAGGCAGGAATAAAAGGAGTACCATGGTTGTGGAAAAATACATGGACATATAATTTTTATGGTACAATACAATACTTACGATACAAAACAGCATAATAGCTCCTACATTATTTTATACCTATATTATTCTACATAGGTCTCTTCTCACAGTAGGCGGGAAACAAAGAGACGATTATTCGCATAGTTTCTAGAAACTTTGTAATTTTTCCCCGACCCTCTGACAGAGGTGGATAAGCATGATACATCATCGACAAAGGATTGATCGCCCTGTAATATACCAAGTGGTACTATTTCTTCGTCTGTATTACAAAATATGCGACCTCTGGCATCCTTCAAACGCTCTTGACGCCTACACTTATCAATTTCTGCCTAGCCATGATCCTTAACATCTATCCAATTTTTCCACTGCCTATTTATACATCAGTCAAACTAGGTCACCCGCGACGTCGTTATAAAAATCCGAATCTCGACCCGTGTTTCTTTCCAATCCGCGTCGCGAATTCGTCGAATCCTATTCGGCACGCGATCCGCTCGTAAACATTCTGCGTTATCCATCGCAACTACGTGTTATTAGTCGCCGACGCGACCAAGCGTCGCGTGTCGTTACAAAAATCAATTTCCCTGCCTAGACTTTCGTTCGGGTAGCAATGACCCAGAAACTCTGATGACCGGGCTAAATTTTCCGTCCCAGAGCGAAATCGAAATCCGTATCTGATCGTATAAGAACACCGTTAAGTCCCTCCTCCGATCGCACCAACGGAGCTTCTCGTTTTCCTCGACATCAGCTCGACTGGTCGCTGGAATTGTTGGGTATCACCGTGTGACAGCCGCGTTTGTAGCGCAGTTGTCTAGGTGACAGGTCGTCGGAGTCCTGGATATCGTTCACCACGGCCACCGTGTGCATCGACTTCAGGGACACCTTCCTTTGAGGCTCCTTGTAGCCGGAGAAATTCGGTTTCGGCATCCAATTCGTGCCGTAAGAGATCGGAAGCACGTCTCTTCGGGGCTCGTTGACCATATCGCTCGAGATCTCCGATCGGCACTCGTCGCAGATGGAACTGGCCTCGCTGTCGTTTATCGACACGGTGTTCCTTTTATCGGCCGTTAAAGGCTCCTCTTCTCGCCAATACGGTTGCAGCACGTACTTTACGAGTCTACGCTCGAGGATACATGGAATTTTTATTTAATTTCGGACGATACGAATCGGTTGAAGTAAAAGGGTGTCGTTTACGGAAACTGTATGACATAATAACCTCTTGAAATACGAGTTTGCGTGACACTTGAGCGTCACTAGTGCATTTCTTGAGGCGGTCAGAGATTCCGTGGTAAAGTTCCATACCCTGTTCGAAGAAACCGCGCAGCCTAGTACCGTCGTGGCGACCGACATCGAGATCAACCAGCTGATAAACCCGGCTGACATCACAGGTGGTTGCAATGGCGGCGGATAATAGGAGGACCAAACTTGTTGCCACCATTGGTAAGACACGTCACGATATTCGGTTTCCTGTGGACCGGGTAAACCTCTCGCGATTAAAAACTGGTAAGAGGAGAGAATTAACCCTTTGCGGACGAGCGCCGCTTATAAGCGGTGGAAACCATCAATTTGGCTGAGGAATTCGTATATGCGTTCGGCGAAAGCAACTGTAGCGACCATCATTCTCATCCTCGAGGACTTTCTTCGCTTCCTATATATATAACTTCCCGACCTTCGAATAGTATCCTAGTCTAAGGCAAGGCCTACTAAATAGCCTTTATTGATAAGTCCACTAGCAAGCCCGGGACGAAATGCATCCCTTCCTTTTTTCTTTTCATCCCTTCTGGCACTACCACCGCACGCGGATACCTGTGACCGACCGATTTCAACAAACGTGGGGGTGGACCCCCGTACAACTGATAGGGTCAAGGGACTCATAAACGTGTCCCACGTAAACGCGTTGCTATGGCCCAGAAACACATATATGCGCCCGCTGTTGCGGCCTTAAAACGTCCCAAGTTAAGTGGATGGACTTATTGCCAGTGTCGCTATGAACGAAAATCGCGTTTAAGCAGAAATAAGTAGTTTTGAATGAGCATCGCGGCAGCGGTTTAATCAAAAGCTCTCCGTCCGCAAAGGGTTAAACGTGTGACGCAAAGATTCTACTCACGTAACTCCAGGACATCCAGACGCAGCAGTAGATCAGCCTCTGAACCATCAGCCAAAACCACAGAGCTGCGATGACGACGGCCCAGCTGATCATCAGCTTCGAACGTAAACACGGGTGGTATTATCTCGAACGAACTATCGCAAAATTCACGCGCCTTATGCTACTGGAATACCTGCAGAGCTTTGTACAGTATCGTCGAGGCCGCAGTTTGAGTCACTACGTTGCAAGACGGTGGATTCCTCCACAGAACGAGCGCCATCGAGGTCAGGATAAGAAATGAAGGCAGGGTGTGGATGAAGTCCGGACCAACGGCTATCTTGGCATACTCTCGGAAAACCTTGTGCTGGAGGAAGAGGATCTCGTGCGGCATAGACAGCAACGTGACGATCTGCGAATCGATGGCGGTCAAACAGGACATCACGGTGGAGGCTGTGCATCAGCCTGGTCCTTGGCTATTTATTCACGCCAGTGTCGAGCTCGCCGTCACGATGGTTAGAGTCCTCGATATCAGGAACGTGACGTTGACGCCGAAATGAACCGCGTTGTCGATCTTCTGTTATCTTGTCCCTCTCCTCTCCCCAGGCAGAGCTTCTTGATCGAGGTTTCGATGGAAGGCAGCGGGACAGTGGGTGACGATGTAATGTCATCGAATAAAGCTTCGAGGACGAAAAGCGCGATTGCAGAAGAAGACAGAAAAAGAATTGCAGAAGGGGCAGGGACTTTTGGCTAGAGCTTGGTTTCGAGCAGGGATGCAAATTTTCGTGAAAGACAGAATCAGCGAATAAGGAGACGAATAAATTTCTGCGAACGAATTTAGAACAATGGCTTTATTCACTAATGTTCGTGCGAGATAAATGAATAAGAGAGAGAGATACAAAAATTCTCCAAGCTTCCTACATTTTACAAAAAGAATCCTGATAAATAGATAATAAGAAAACGTTCCTCTGAATAACTTTGCACTAATCGTAAGAGAGAAAAGCGAATGAAATACAAAATCTTGGCCAAGACGTGTATACTTTCAGTCTGTTCGCATTTATTTACAACTATATACACGGCGTATATGAATCTTAAGGGAACTAGCAGTCTATATAAGGAAGTAGTCCGGCCCAACGAAGGATCCACACTTGGGGAAATCTTCAGGAGCGGGTACCATGTCGTTCGATTCTCCGACTCGAAGGATCACATCCAAGCCGCGTGTCCAATCAACGGCGTGTTCGTCCCGCAACATCCAGTAACCTGGGAAATTTAATGACACGATGTCTGAGGATTTATGAATAATTCAAAATTCAAATCAAAATTGCGAAACAGGAGCGTATCTGTAAACACGATGTACTAATTTTCATCGTAGAATATTTGTATTAAGAATAAGAATCGTTTACAAGCGAATGAAAGATGTTACAATGTTCGAGATTTACGGCAACAAATGAGAAATATTTCCTCGTAAGCGGCAGAGAAATTGCGAAAATAAAATATTTCATTTGTCGATGTATTACCTGGATTATCCGCTTTAAACCTAAGGGCAACGGCACCGAATTTGGGCACGACTACGGTATCTTTTGCCACTGTGCAGTCGAGATTGCGAGAAAACAGTTGACCCTTGTCATCCAGGCTTTTCAGCTCTTGCAGAGAGACACTGCGTCCAAACTTCCGGGCTCCCACTATGTAGAAGGTGTATCCGTGAAGGTGGTACACCAGATCATCCAGGCCACCTTGTGAAATAAGAAACAACTATCAAATGATGATACGAAAAGAGTATATTCGAGAAACATGGAAGAAACAAATGGTACTAAAGGGCAGTAAAAAGAAAGTTTTATAACTGTAGCGACCACTATTCTCACTCTCTGTAATAGATGGACTCCTACTGTAGGATCTCTAGCTAGATTAACCCCTTGATTACGGTAGATTTTGATACGCAACAGCCGTACCATACGGCAGGAATTGAGTTACGATGTGCGCCATTTTTGTGAAAACAAGCGCCCTCCGTGTCAAAGAGCTAAACTACGCCGACCGCCTATAGGCGCTCTCCATGTTACAAATGCAAAATTTCTAAGCGCCCATAGGCGCCCACAGTAGCCAAGGGGTTAACCTTATGCAGACCGCAATCTGCGCATCTAATAAACAACAACTCCTTTTTAATAATAAAACGGGTTTATTTAATTAACATATTACACTAAGTTCCTCTCAATTCTAACTCTCAGACACAAGATCCTTTATTCACACAATCTGCCTCGCCCGCGCCCTTGCACCCTTACTTAAAGTCAAAACTCTCTCTTTTCATACACAGGCTTTCTCTCTCAATCACTCGACCCAGTCATAAATATCTCATCCGTTTGCATGCACTCCAGGCATCGTCCTAAACGCCTAATTGTAAGTCGAAGCCGATGTCGCTGTTTATTATTCCCAGATAGAGTCCTTCGCTGCTCACCACCCCACACTACTTAAAAGAGATTCGAGGACTTGCCAGAAAGTTCTCATGATCGGTGAATCCTCGACCTCACTTAAACAAAAATTCCTATGCCACCTAAGTATCCCCGTCTAGGGCAGGACCTGCTAGAATGCATTCCTGCACTTTAGCCACTTAAAACCAAAAGCTGTATAATTTTCGTGCCTTTCTATACATAGGCAAACAGGCATTTTAATATAAGATAGTTCTTAGGTTTATATTATTCTATAAGCACGGTAGATTAAGTTCGATTTTAGATCGCGAGTGCTTCATGCTGGAACTCATAGACTCATAGACTCATAGTCTAAGTTTTCATTTGTAACCCTTCTGTACGTTTTGGTTCTTCTTTATATGTTTATTACTGTATGTAGTTTCTGGCGCATTAAACCTATGTTAAATGGAATTGGATTGGCCTTACTGACGAGTCCACTAGCAGGCCCAGGATGAAACACTCATCCCTTCCTTTTCCTTTGGTCCCTTCTACCTGCTACCATATCATAGCACAGCGACAAAGGGATACCAAGAGGCTAGCACCATAGGAACACCACACCATCAGTAGGAACCACAAGAGTTAAGACCAAACTGACCCAAGAAGCCTACTACACCATCATCGATACCCCGTGAGGGGGACCCTCGCATAACTAATCTAACGTAACATTTCACCCTCTGGAAGATTCCTTTTTTCAGTGAATTGGGAATATAGGTCGATCTGGAAGGATAACGATAAGTCACGTTGCTCTCGGAAAACTCGAATCACGTATGGAACCTAAGAACCCACGTACGCTTAAGAAATGATTCCTCGAAGTTCCCGGAAAATTTTTCGACCTTCGAAATTGAAATATTTTTAAACAAGATTTAAGTTCTAGGTACTACTGTAACTTCCCCGGAATTTCTAAAGAAAAGCAGCAAGATAGTAAACGTGAATTCTGAAAGAAATTCATTACCGAGGAGGACATTGTTAAACGAAGAAACTGAGTTTTAACTTTCCGTCAGAAACAATTGTCGGAGTTGGAGCAAAGTTGCGATCAATATTACTAGCCTCAAGGTTCTTAACTCAAGGCTACGCTCCAGCGAATTTCTCCGGTTCATTTCATCCGATCCTTTCTACGTATTTCTACGTATATTTTCATATATATATATATATATATCAACCTTTTCATAAATATAGTAAAATATTTGAATAGAGACTAGCTGTCTACATCGGAATGATCAACGATGATAATTGTTCAGCAGTGACCACGCGAACACGCCCACAAGACTTCGGAATGCAAAATTCATTAGGGAAAAAATAAACGTAAAAATAAAATAAAAATAAAAAGTAAATTAATAATAAAAATAATAATAAAATAAGAATAAAACATGAATTAATAATAATAATAATAAAATAAAAAGAAACTTTCATTTACAAAAATGATCTTCCCCTTATTCAATCCATGTTCCTTCGGCATCATTGATAATTACTACTAATAATTAACTGTACGAATGAAATGATAATAACACGAACGCACATCGAAGTAAGGTAATTATCGAATAATAATTTCAAGTCGTATCAACGAAAAGGAATTCATCCAAATTGTTATTAATCGTGAAATCTCGCATTCCGCCGCGATATCGGTCATCAGAGGCCGGAAATGCCATCAACCATGAGGCACCGATATACTCGGCGTGGCAGTAATTGGAAATCTAATTTTTCGTTTCGTTTCATCGCGTTCGAAGCCCCACGACAGCACACACATGAGGTATCTTCCAGAAGACGGTCAAAGACGTCGATCTACTAATCGGCAACCACCGTGATAAGTCGTTCTATAAACCGTTCCGACAAGAAAACGCGAGTTTCGTTTTTCCTTTCGCGGTTCAATCTGTCACGGCGATGGATCGACTAATCGTTCCTTAATGGCTACGAGCGATTCATTGCGATACAGCGCCTGCTGAGATCCCCGATGAATCAAATGAGAAACGAGACGATGAATCTCGAGTGTCTGTAAACGAGCTATGGAAAATGGCGCAAGAATACGGGACTGTTGTACCACTTTTCCATTTCGCGGCACTCCGTTTGCACGATCTAACGAACCGTTCCCTTTTCATCTTCGAGATAATTACGTTACTCTCGCGCGCTATTCTGTGGTATTGCAAGAGGGGAAAGTTAGAGAAAAAAGGAGGAAGGAATAAATGGAGAAAGGTTTCACTGGATCGCGTTTTAAATATTACGCTCTAATCTAGATCGCGTAAAATCATTTTCTCCGTTTCACGATCAAATTTGAATAAAGCAACTTCTTTCACGTTTTCAGCATTTAGCCTGTTCCACGATAACTCGTGTTACACGGACTATGCAATATTTATTTCGTAACTTCGTTTACTTCTAATTGTTAATTATTCCAAGTCGGTGAAGTAATTATCCGATTGAAAACTGGAAATCTGTGGGAATGGTGAGCGTGATTAGGACATAATGTCACCATCTGTGACAGTACCTTTTGTGTAGGTACGACTGTAGAGTGAATGAGAACGCTGGGCCGTTCCTCGAAAATAGAGGATAACAAACAGTGGTCCTGGGTTGGGCTCGAGCGTTCAGAGTGAACACGTTGAGTGCTACGTCAGGCCCTTAGGACAGTGAACTTTCCGTTCAAGCGGGGTCAGTTCCTGGGGACTGACAGTAGACTTTTCGTTTGGACCGCGTGGATTCTAGGGACTGACAGCAAACTTTTCGTTTGGTCGACATCGGTGCGTGAGACCGGCAGTGTCGAGGGTTAAATTATTAATGACAATTAATATTGTTACGAGATTTTCATATTCACCCGGTATTCGACCAAGTAGAGCGGATCGTAACTTCAGGGTAGAACAATCCAGCACCTTCCAGAATGTTCGGATAAAATAACAATCGGTTGTTGACTATAAAAGGGACGTTTTCCACCGAAGTTCAGATAGAGCTGTCAACCTTTTAGTAGAGGAAATCTATTCAGAGACGTTTTCCATTGGAAATTTTTGCCAATCCAGCGATCGAACTTGTAGAATAAGAATTACACACGCAATTTGTAACAATATATTGTAAAAACTAAATTCCCTCTGCTGAAGTAAATCTTTACACTTCCGCGGCTTTTTCTAACTGATCGTCTCTTGGTGATAGCCTTTTGGCCTTTCCAGCATACCCCATCCCATTATCTTCAATTTATGATTTGTATGTTTGTGCATTGACTGCACCATTCTCACAGTCCAAACGATAAAGTGAAACAAAGTAATCTATTCATACTCTTCAGTATACTTGAGCGGAAAGTATAGCAAAATCGGCACCGCAGTCAACGTGTTAAATAAGGGTGCAAGGGCGTGAAACGTGACAGTTCTTTGAGAGATAGTGTGAAAGTCGTAAGCCTAGAATGAGTTAGTTCACGATAGATCATATTTATTATCTATCACCGTGGTTTTGCTGCCACCTAACAATCCTACATACCGAAGCAATGTTCGTTACCTTGATCGAGGAGAATGATCTCGACTGTTGCTCCGAGCGGTATATACCTCACATGAACGCACTCGCAAGTGTCCGACGCGGTGACGTCACTGCGACGACAGCGTCGCGACGTCAGTGACGCAGTTTCGTTGTTCTCGGATCGAGCTTCGTCCTCGTCGGGGGTGGAAGAGCACAAAGTTTCCTCGGGAACGTCGACGCCCTGTGTCAACAACGGTGACGAAGGGTACGTGAATGTGGCGTTGTTCACGTTCAGAACTCTCATCTCCGCTCCACCGTTTCCTGAAAACGAACGACGAAATCGTTTACGATCATCGTATAATCGTTAACATCAAAGTCGATAGATTCATTGTACGCGACATCGTCAAAAAGATAAGAGAAGAAATATCGTTAGGACAGAATTCTTTAACCAGAATTTCTGTGAAGCTAGCAAGTAGTGTTTGGGCCACGTCACTAAACGCGGGGATAAAGAGTACTTGACCTGGAGTGTGTCAGGGGTGCGAAGAAAGAGTGTTTGGATCGCGTGCTCGAGTTTACACTCGAACGAAGGATGCACAGCTGCTGAAGATTTCGGTGTGAGAGCCGGGAGTGTAAGTATAAGAATAAGTACAAGAAAGAATACGATACCGATCTAACCACGGCGCAGAAGGATCGTTAGGACGAGATTCGATAAAAATGTACTGTAGGAATGGTAAACGAGAGACGCTCGTTTATTAGGGTAGACTGTCCTCGCCTAGAACTCAGGTCTAGGGGACCCGTTGGTATCTGGTTGCTATATGGGGCCATAGGAGGTCGGGGCCAGGCCACTTGAGGTGGCCTCGCGCAACCCCGGCTTTCCCCGGCATAAACCGAAGGTCACCCTTCGGAGGGGCTAACTCGGAGGGAGGAGCCTTCTCCACCCTTGACCTTGGAGTAGAGGGAGTTTCCTCTCCTTCAAGGAGACGCTTGTCTTCTGGACGGGCTTTAAAAGGGCCCGTTCAGGAAGACACAGGGACAGGTATAGTTAGAGGACAGTCATAGTGATAGTCCTAGTCAGAGCGATCGTCATAGTTAGAGTTACAGTTACGAGTAGAGTCAGAGTCAGCTTTCGTACTTTTCGTGTCCAATCTGCCAATTTCTCCCGAACGATTCGGTAAATTCCTACAGTACGAATAAGACTGACATTCAGCGTCGTTCAAACACTGAATGCACAAGCACACCGTTTCAGTTAGTCTTCAAGGTGTCAATCTTCGAGACGCTTTCCTTCGCAACCTCGTGTGACTTTGGCAGTTATTAGAAGCGGAAGAAGATAGACAAGGTCAGACACCGAGAACGTTCGTTAAATAATTTCAACGTTCGCGTTGATAAACAGTCTGGAGTTAGAGCATCACGATTGACGACTTCCGTTTTCTTCGGCGTCGTTGATCAGCCTGTCATGTCCTCGACCCTTCGTCGTTTGGCATGTCGGCTCTGTTCGCGTATCGGTTTTCACTTTGTTTGTTCTGCGCCGTAAGTGAAGTTACGTAAACCTGCTCGCCAACAATTTGCAATTTGGTCGGGAAGGAGAGAGGAGAGAGAGAAAAATCGTAAGTACAGACTTTTAGAAGTGAAAGGAGTTGCGCTGTGCATCGTCTAATCATCGCTTACCTATGATATCGTTCGTTTGCAGCTTGTAATTAATAGGCAAACGAATGGTGACGTCGGTTCTCGGCTTGCCTAGAACCGCCGGCATCTTTCGCACAGCCTGCACTTCCGTCGCGCACAGGCTCTCGGGATTCTCGCATTTATCCGCAGGGTTAGTCGTCATAGCGATCCGACCTTCCTCCACTTCCGATTGATCTGAGACTTCCGTCGCCGGCAGCGGATCCTTCGACGAACTTCCTTTGTAATTCAAAATCGCAGCGCCGTTTATGGCATTCGGCCCGCATTCCTTCGACGTGTGCACGTTCATCCAATAGGAGGCGATCTGCTTGTTCGCTTTTAGGATGAAATCCGCTCTCTCGCCTGCGATGTAATTAACAATGCTCGAATATTATCTAGTTACGATAAGCTGTTATCGGGATGAAGGATTGGTGAAAGTACTTCTCACCTAGTCGCTTAGCAGGTTTTAGATCAGCATAGGCGAAATATTTTTCGAGCGTTTAACATTTGCAGATACCGGTATTCGCACGATGTCTGTTCAACCACGTCGGGGTGTTTTCTTTTCATTTTCCGATTAGGAAGTTACAGGAAAAATGGACTTATCTTGGCGCGTAATCTTAGTCGGGTAAAATGTCAGAAATAAAATCTAGCTGGTAGAACGGCAAGAAATGAACTCGTTTTCCCGCGCAGACCACATACTCTCCGAGAGTTTGCCAATAAGACCTGCGATACTCGGCATTTCTCCAGTGTATATCGCATCGTGTGCACGGGCTAATGCGTACCTTTGGCTAAAGTAATCGATGTAACTTGTCGCGGTTCCACTGGCTGGCCATCTAGGGCAATCAGAAGAAGAGGATGTGCATCGACGGAGATCGTTATTGGACAGGATCCAGCACCGCCAGCGTTCGCAACGCGGAATCTGTGACGGCGTCCAGGGACAACGGTGAAACTCGTCAAAGGGACGTTGGGTCCGTTCGGCTGGCGTCCTTTGCCGTTCACCAAAAGGATCGCTGGCTTCACGCGTCCCTCCGTGAACGCGATTTCGGCCGAATGTTGCCATTGACTCACCAGGACCACGTGATTCGGGTCGTCCATGTCGTACAGATTGCGATGAGGGTCTCTGATATCCGCTTGTTTCACGACCAATGCGCCGAAAACACCATTAGTCACGTCAGCTCCTGTCCATTATGGAAATTTAATTCGACGTGTTCATGCTTTACACGTAACTCGAAATTAAAAGCAAAACGACTCGGTTATCACAGAACCTGTCTCGAGTACGTCTAACTAGAAACGAGATTTCGCAATTGGAAAATGGCACGCATCGGTTAATTCGAATCTTTAATTGTGGTATTTACGAGAATGCCCGATGTATAACACGCGACAAATCTATCCTTTAAACCAGTTCGATTGCGATAGTAAAAGTAGGACGAGATGAGATAAAAAGGAGAAAAGAAGCGGGAGAAATTTTTCGAATAGACGAAATGTCGTTTCTTAGACGATCTATTATTAAAACTCGAACGTGATCGGTTGATGTTACCAGCGTGAGCATGCCACAAATGAGTTCCAGCCGCGGAGGCACGGAATTTGTATTGAAAAGTCGTGTAGCTCGGTACTGGACATTGCGTGACCAAAGGAGCCCCGTCCATATACGGCGTCTCAACCTGAGATTGACCACGCCAATGCACCGCGACCGCTTTGCCCGGAAGCCGATTAATCACGTCCACTACCAAGATGTCGTTTTCGCAAACCTGAAAAACAAACGAAACCTGTTTGAAAACGTTAGAATTACTCGGACACGTGTTATTTGGTGTCTAGAACTGGTTCTCGAGAGTTTTCTGAAAGCTCGATGGAGAAAGAAGCACCAACGACAGTGGCGATTAACACAACGTACCAAGCGGTGTCAAATGACCCCAAAATTTACTCCATAAATCGTACGTTCATTGTTATTTTTGTCGCTCATCTGACTTTTTATTATCTGATTATTTAATTCCTCGCTTTCCGTTTTTCTCTTAATTTATTTTTTTACCGAGAATTATTCTTTGCACACCTTTCGTACCACGAGGGGTCATGTGTCCCCTTATGGCAAGAATAGGTGTGTGTAAAGTACCGGTACGTTTAGTGCTAAACGTCTGAACATTCGCGTGGAAACTCTACTTTATGACATGCAAATTCCTTATAATTAGAGCACATTAATACATCAATTATCCACTTGGATATCATGTTACATAAAGTTTAATTAAGGATAATGAATTTATTTACGAACGATACAGGCAAGTTCGACATAAATGAATATTAAGCTGTGAAAGTTAAAGCATAAAAATCGAAAGTTTAGAGATCAAAATGGAAATATTAAATATGGGCTTCATTTTCGGAATTTCAAAATTATTACTCCGTTTCGAATTTTATAGGATCAGTGTTCTCGATATGAATTTCTACTTTAACGTGCAACACAGAAGCCCACTATTTCGATTCCTATGACTCCAGTGTTCTCCATTCCTACATCCTTAATTCAAACTTTCGTGTCGCGACCTTCGCGAGTCTCAAATCCTCTACTCGGACGTCTACAGCATCCATTCCGACTTCTCGCGACCCAGCTATCCTTTGCTTCGACCTCCGCGACTCGAAACTTCGCTCTTCCATCTTTCTCGTTTGAAACCCCTCGCATCTCTCCTCTCACGAATGAACGGTACATCGCAATTACGCCATGTTCATCTGAAATTCCGTTTCTGTATCCGTGACAAGCTCTCTAAGAAGTACCTGTATGGTCGGGCCAGGTAACCGGCGATTCGCTGTCAGGATTCCTCGTCTCTGTCCATCCGCCGAGACGCAGTGATCGGTCGAGCAGGCCGTCTCGTTTCGTGGGCAGTCGCCGCACGATCTACGCAGAGATTGGAAATAATGAAAAGCAGCTGGCATAAATTACAGGAATTAGGCTCGAAGCGTGAATGAGCGATCATATTGCGCGTCATGCAGTTGAGCCTTCCGCGTTTCGATAATCGAGAAATTGCATAAGCGTTGCTACATGTAACTCGGCCGGTGATTCCGATAGGAACGGTGACTAAATGCGATCCTGGTTACGCTGCTGACATAATTGGTCGTATAGTACGCTCCTGCCATAACGCAATGAAATGATGTATTACGACGACAAGGTATTCCGTTTGTTAGTGAACAGTGTGTTTACACACGCCTATGTTACACCTGTGTACACCGTAATTTAATATTTATAACTTCATAAGAAATATTTTTATATTGGAAATCTGATATTTTAAATTTAAATTATATAAATAAATTCTTTAATTTAATTGGAATATTCTATTAACCCTTTGCACTCGAGAGGCGCCTCTCAGTCACCATTTAATCAGATTCTAAAGATGGATGTTAATTAATATATCAAATTTACAATTAGCCAACGATGCGTGGAATATCGAAATAAAATAATTCTACGTCTTAATTTGCATATAATCTCTTATTTACCGTTTTAGAAATATCGTCGACCTTATGGCAGAAAGTCTTCGAATTACTATTTTCCTGCAACGAAAAATTCGCCAAGTGCAAATGGTTAAATTAAAATTGAAATATCAAGGAAAATTTTGTACATTTTTTAAACAAGAATAATAATATTTTTGATATTAATTTATAAAATTAGAAGCTTTATCTAATTTATTTCTTATATAAGATCATCTTTAGTCAAATTTTTAAGTCGAAATTAAAATGACCAATTAGGTAATTTCCCTGAGCTTCTTTTCTCTTCCTTGCTTTCGTTACAGCGGTTCTATTTTGCACTCGAACACGATGATCTCTGAATTTCAGATGAACGTTATTGTTTCGAGGTAGCGTTGCGTAAATGTATAATTATTAGGTCGTTCTCGGAATTTAAAATGCGAGTTAAAGTGCTGTCGTTGATTTCTGCGTTGAAAAGGAAGCTCATTACGGAAAGCGGTTAGGAATGACGAGATGGGAGGAACGTTGGAAGAAAATTCTCTTACTTGCTGAGGGACTGGAACACTTCTAGAGTCAGCTTCACTCGACAAATCATGGGCCAGTCCAAATGGTGACATGGTCTGTCGCAGGAGAGGAATATTTGCTCTATGGACAACACAAAATTAACGTAAATCCGTGTGCGAGATTAATTCGACAGACTAATCTATTTTAAGTACGTATAGTAGCAAACTTATCGAGCATTCAGATATCAAGTCAGAAGCCATCTGAACAAGTGGCCGAGAAATCTTGCGAGAATACACCGTGACGGAATTACTCTTTGAAAATTCTCTTTAACGTCGCTCTGTGAACGAAGTCGCGACAAGGGTGAACTTACTGGGCCTGTAATTGTTCACGTGCAAAAAGGTGGCCGCGGCCGCGATCGTGAAGACGACCACGAGAAACCGTAGGCCGTAGGTAGCCAGCATCATCGTGAGGTCTGCACTCTTCGAGGTCCGCATCGTCTAACCCGGATTGTTATGCAACGATAACAGCAGGTGACTGCATTATTCCCTCGGTCATTTAACTCAGACAGTCTCAAAAGCAACGCACAGTTGCTCAGACCTCTGAGGAATCGCAGTCGAGTTCCTTTTATAATCGGGAGTATGAAACACAATGATTAAAAAGAAAAAAAGGCCGAAGGATGACACGTAATGAAAAGCGATCGACGTTAAGGAGGATCATGGAGCAAGTTTGATGGATTATGCAAGTCTGATGAGTTCTCGTGTGTCTGGAGATAACGGTAAGCCTAACGAAATTCTGGTGTCAGCAGGGTGAAAGTGAATGGCCGTACAGAAAAGAAGCGAAAGGAATAATCGTTCGAACGAAGATGAAAGTAGCAGCTGTCGACTCTTGATTCGGGACATGGCTAAGTAAACACTCTTGTGAAATCGTCGTATTTATTCTATTTCCTTTCATACTTCGTTCCACGATTTTCTCCTTCCACGTGGAAAGCGGGAAGAAAAGTTGAAATGGTACTTTTCACCTTGTTCCCCACGAGGAAGGATACGAGGTATGATTGGTGGATGATATATAATAACTGATATAATTTTACTGGTTTCAGAAAACTGGTATAATTTTTACCATTTCGGTAATCAGGTTATCGACATCGAATTTCCGCATTTTACCGCTTAATATAACGAAAAGCTTACGATTAATAAAATTTCGATTAATAAACGCTAGAGATATTTAAATAATCCAGGAAAAGTCTAATTTACGTGTTTCCCAGAGGAACGTTATCTCCAGCTACGGGTGATATTCGCAAATTATCCCGACACAATCTGCATTCGCATTTTCAAGGAAAAAGGCTCGCTCACGGGGAAAAGGGAACGAGAGACACTAGCGAGCAACCGGTTTTCCTCCCGGCAATATAGATGATGTAATTTAATGAATTTTCCTCGGAAATATCGTGGGCATGGGGACAAGCAGTTGAATAATGTCTCTGGGAGATACACGAAGGCCATTTAATCGCGTCCCTGCTCCCTGGGTTAGACATGGTCGTTATTATTAGGTAAAAATTTGTATAATCTTCGCATAATATATCCTCATGGCGTGATTCGATCACGCGTCCAGCACGGAGTCCCGTCTCACGCTGAAGTCCTCCGCTACTTCTTCCTTTTCAACCTCTATAACGATATAATTATCGAAGTTATAATCGTGCTAATTAAAATCGAGTCGAGAGACGGCGAAACGCCGTTGCTACTAGCACGATGCGCGTCATAATTAAGGAGAAATAAGAAAACTTTGGGATAACGAGCGAAGAAGAGACTCGTAAAGTAAATGCTTCGAGGAACGTGTAATTGAGACACTGGATAAACAAAGAAATCTAACTGCACGAGGAAGGTAGAAAGAAAAACTGTTACGCACCTAATGAACAAGTAATACTCCAACGTTCAAAGTACTAGCGAAGATCGTAAACGATTCAATCGGCCATTTTCTTCTAATCGAATTTCACCAAAAATGGCCACACGGAGGAAGAAAACAATCGGATTCCATTGAAAGGAACCGCCTAAAAGGGAACAAGCAAACGAGCCATTTTTCTTTCTTCCTTTTCTATGATTTTTTGAAAAAAAGGACACTCTCCAGATATTACGGCAATGTCGAGAAGTAACGGGTTAAATGGACGATGAAAGGACGACACGAGATCCCATAGCAAACCTTAACTCGGCGCACGTGAACTCGTGAGCACTGTTACGCTTTCTCGTGAACAACTGAGCAGACCGAATTTTCGAACCCACCTCTTTCTCTCCCTTTCCCTTTCTCCTTCTACCTTTTTTTACGAGCGACCTCGTGCCGCTTCTAGATCGGTCATCGAAGGTCTTTCTTCGCCGGTCCGTGTACGAAAGGAAAGCGATCGAATTCCTTTGAATTCGTGGCAACCTGACGTTCCGTTCGAGTTTCCAGATGACTAACGCTCTATCGCGAATCATTTTGCTCCGCTGCTGATCCAGCAGAGAAGAGATTTATCCGCTCGCGTGATTAGCGAACAGAACGGAAACCGGAACAGGAGTGTCGAGCACGTACAAAAAGCTTCTATCGATTCGCCATGATACACAGCTTTTAGGAGATCTTAAATTACGGTTTCTTTTCTTCCTTGCTTTGGAGAAAGTAGGGATCGATCGATCGAAATCGATCTAAGACGCATTACCGTATCATTTGCTCCTCATACAGAAAATGATAACAACGTAAAGGTAAAATGATATTAATCAGTTCGAAAATTAACCGGGGTAATGATCGCAACCATTAATCATGGGATATTAATCAGAATTTATATATTCATTATATGTTATATATTCATCCGTGCCGACGTAGATTAATCGATTTCGTCGTAATTACGAAATTGCACATCACGAGACACCGAATGAAGACATCATCTCGGTTCATCCTCCAGTCTACGAGAACTAAATCTCGTGCAGTGTTGGTGGTTAATTAGGCAAAGAGCGTAACGATGAATATTAACCAGACTGGTCTCGAAAAATTCAGTTCGCGTAAGCAGCGTCTATTAAAACTTGCGTAACGTCCGCTCCGTTCCGCGAACGGGGCAAAACTTGGAAAAGTTAGGGATAACGCGCAAAATGCCGGCTCCCTACGAGCCGGCATTTCCATCGTTGCATAATTAACGCGCCGACCATCTCGACGTAACAGCGCAACGAAACGATTTCCGTGTTTTCAGCAAGTTTCATCGATACTCCGTCGACCAACGAACTCGAAATCAACCGGCGTCGAAGGGACAACGAAGAATGGCGAAGACGAGGGAACGGAGGACTCGAGTGATACGAAACGAAAATGACGGAAAAGCGACGATAAGGGAAGAAACCGATTCATGAGCGACGAGAAACGCGATAAAAGTGAGAGATGCTTATAGATTCACTGCACAGGTACCAATTAACACGCTTATGCCGGAACGAGACAGGGGGAAAGGCACTGTCACGATTCCCGTGAACGACTGACGAGCAGAGAGCAGTTTTGGCCGAAATTTCATTGCCAGAACTGGAAGCAACCTTTTTCCCTCTCTATCTGACCCTCCCTTCCTCTCTTAGTCGTTGCATTTCGTGAGCTTCCGTTTTTTCTAGCCACTCTTGTCTGGCCACCGTTAAGATTCGTCCGTGATGATCAACGATGCTTCCAGTGACAATATCGATGGCAGACTCGCGCTCGTCCCCTCCACGGTCATTTGGCAGCGAGACCATCTCGGCACCGAATATGTGTCAGAGACGGCGAAATGGCGAGTGAAAGTTCGCCCGAAGGGAACTGGTAAACACTCCTCGACGTCTGTGTGTGTGTGTTCACCTCTTCTCCAACTGCGTTACACGCGTACTTTCATTTACCATTTTTCCGTTTCGGTTGCTCCATCTCTGTCTACCCGGCTCTTTGTTCGTTCTCCTTTTGTCTGCCTATACGTCTTGCTTTTCTACTTCTTTCGTTTACTCTTGCCTATCCATTGTTTCGCGGAGACCGGCGTTTCGGATCTCCTTTCGAATAATTAAGCAATTAATTACTCATTTCTTAACACTCGAAGTGAGTTACCTTTCCCTGAGTGATTCGTGACCTAGATTTTCTTCCTCCAAATTCCAATTACCGATTAATACCCACGGTTTAGTCTTTTAAATCGCAGCGAGTCTAAGTATGCGATGTCTCCAACTTTTTCCCACCTGTCCACGTGAAACTACACCCGTGTCTACTCGTGCAACCTGCCCCTGTCCCTCTTGCCACGATTAGAAGACCTATATCAGTTTTTGCCCAGACAGACTTACGTCCATTCTCAACCCGATCTCCTTTAACTGCACTGCGCGATTGGAAAAGTATACGTCATTGCGTTCAGTTATAATTCTACACGTATCTTTCGATTACCCTTCTCGTGTTTCTAAGCGGCTACACCTGCGTACGTTCCTCTATTTCTAATTCCGTATCTAACTCCGTATCTAACTCGATTTCCATGACCATAGCTATCCCCGTTTTTGCCTCTCTCGCTGAACCGTCCGTCAGATCGCAACGGATCCCAGGAGATTTCGATTTCGCTTTCGCTGATGGCGGAGGGAGTTATTTGCTTTGCCTACTCGTACAACGAGTCCCGTTCCTGCGATATAGACATCGTCGTGACACTTTCTACCTATTACGACGATTTGTTTCACCCATTGACACGTGTACTAATTATCGCGTCGATTCTTACAGGGTAAGATAAGCGATCGCGCTTTCCATCTATGGGGTGCCGAGAAGCGCGATTGGGTGCAGGATATTTACGATCGATGGAGTTTATAAATTCGCGATACGCGCTTCGCGAAAAACTAGAAACGCTTTCGAGTTAATTTCCTTTTAAATTCGTTTTATTGTTTTACGCTTTTATTATCTCAGGAAATTTACTCCGTGCCCTACATTTTCGCGTGCTACACCAGGCATCTCGAAACGGGACGTGTCTAAAAGTAAATATTTATTTACCAATATTTTCATCGTCTTCGCGTGACAACGTGCAATCTTTGTTCGAGATTTATTCTAATTCGTAAGTAAATTGACTCCGACCATCGATTTCTCTCCCGACACTGACGCAGCTTTTCCCCGCGTTGAAAACATACGCCGGTCATTAATTCTGGAGAAAATTCCAATAATTTCTCGCAGGTTATATTAATCCACCGGCTGTTCTTCTTCTCCTAACGAGACAAAAATGTCGGCGAGGCGCTGACACCGCTGGCGGAAACGCGTCGCGGCGACATACCGGAGGACTTCCTTTTCTCTTGTCGCGAAGGTATTCCGTTTCCAAGACGTTAGAAAGCCGATCGATGAAATGCATACTGCAGGTTGGGTTGTTTGCGCGAGTTAAGTTTCACCGTGGATCTTTCGACGCCTCTTCGATTAATCCCTGCCGTATATAAAAGCGTTTCCTTTGCACGAAAAGAGAAAAAGAAAAGAAAAAAAGAAAAAGAAGCTAGGACAAAATGGAGTCGCTCGTACCTGAGTCAAAGACAATCGCAATACGATATTCTCTCGCTTTCACTCCACGCTGGAGGGATGGCTGTTGTTTGGCCTCCGAGCTTCTCTCACCCGTTGGAACTTTTGATTTCAACGAACGTCACGACTTTCGGTATCCGTGGAATCCATTCTGTCCGTTGGAAACGTTCAACGCAACTTTTACGGTCTTTGCCCGCGATCGTGATCGACCAGGTTGCTAGTTTGACGTCGTAAAAGCGGTTCTAAGGGAAACGTCTCGGACGCAAAAATGTGCACTTTCTTTTACTCCGAATTGCGTAATTTCTCGCGAATTACTATCCTCGGTGTAGCTAGGACAGGTTTCCTTTACGGTCACTCCCCGCGGAAAGATCTCGATTGTCATCGAAGACGATGATCGCACGATCCTCCGACTATTGAACTAGGAAACAACCTGACTGATTGCTCGACATCGCGAGTCGAAAAATCGATTAAAACTCCTAAACTATGATCTTTCCAGTGTGCATGCGAATAAACGAGTCATCCACGATGAAGATACAGGTGTACGTGTGTAGATCGTTGAATATCGTTTAGATGATCGATATCGTTGCTCGAGGGTGAAAGCGAAGCGTTATAGGATTGGTGATTTCACGTGTACTGAGAAGAGAAGATGATGATATGTTGAAGAAGGAAGGTGGTCCGAGCTGTAACAATTAATCGTGGAAGTGACGGCGGCTGCGGGACCGGTGTCAAAAGCGGAAGAAAGCGAGGATGACACTGGTCTGTAAACGAAGAGGCACAATGAGGCGCGCTTTCTCGCTTTCTCGTCACGAGTTTACTAATCCCACGTTGTATTTACGTCCCGACACACGATGAAAATTGCCGGCTCATTGATTTTTATTTATCCGCACATTAATCCAGATTTTTTACAAAGAGGGAATAGGAGAGGTCGATTAATTTTAGAAGACTTTCAGAAATGATGCAGGGAAACGTGTGCGCGCGTAGGTATAGATATGTACGTGCAGAATTATACCGATACGTACGCAATATATTGGTGTCTTGCATATTTTTGTAGGCAGTATTTAAAATTGTTGATTAGCAAAAGCCAATTTGAAAGTTATTATATTTTCTCGAGAATTTCGAAGATGTGTCAGATATGGAGATAAATTCCAATTTTATGCGCTCGGAGATGCTTCGATGAGCGTTGAAAATTATTTTTCATTGGTAACGAGACAGGTTACAATGTCTAGCTATAGAATAGGATGATGCGACGCGAGTCGAATCGCATCTGGCGTGCATAACGGTTGTTGTACTTTTCATATTAATATTATACTTCTTGCCGACAAATAACTTCACGCAGCGATAGCTAAGAAGCGCTCGATCGCAGTTTGAGTTCATTCACCTCGACAAAATCTTCATTTTATCTTCTCTTTGTTATCGTCGATCTTTTTCGGACTCTCGCCGGTATCGACGAATTAGCACGTATCGAAGTACATTCTTCGCGAAGAAGGTACTTCGATACGTGCTAATTCGTCGACATGGGAGAGAATCTGAAGAAAGATGTTAATCGTGAAAAAAAATTTAATTTTTCAAATAAATTCTTTATCCCCGTACATGATGTATTATTATAATACAGTACTATATTAAATATTAAAACAGTAAAAAAGAACATTATAAAAATAAAATATGTTCTTCGAAAATTACCAGTTTTAAAACCTGTCATGAAAATACAGCAATTGAAATTCTATTATACAATTCCTGGCGCATAACGAATAGATTAATCTTCTATTTGAATTGTAAATGTAACTTCGATAAGATTTAACTGTAAATCGTGAAATACGTTATAAAGATTTAGAGCAGTATTTTCTAATACGCCATTTACAATTTAAAATCACCTTTATTTTCAATTCCAAATAGTTTTCTTCCAGAATACCATTTTACAGGTACGACAAATATATTGTCGCGCCCCACATTATCAATCCTCGATAATGTGATCGATACTCGATTAATTTTTTAATACATTTTTTCGAAAATATATTCGAATGCAATTTTGTTTAAATTGCATTACACAAAGAAATATAACTAACCTGGTATAGGTGTCAAGTAGATGATGGTTGCAACGACGGAGCTCAGACCGACGAATATAGCGAACCTGAAGAACATCGTTGAAAATTCGGCTTCGCGTTGAGGATCCGGTGTGTCCCCCAACGACTTACACTCTATTGAAGTCCCAGTAGAGAAACGAAACGATCAGCAGGCCGAACTGGCCGGTTTCGTGGCCGCGGATACACTAGCGGGATACAGGCAAGTTCATTGCCAGAGAGAGAGTAGTTTCCCGATTAAAAAGAAAGATCTTTCAACTGCGGAAACACTCACTTATAGGCTCGCCCGCGCGCACCTGCAACGTTTTTTGCTTTACACAATGTCCGGCTCGAGAAACACGCGAAAATTGTCAACGGTCGTTTACTGTGTGACATGCAGCTGACAGCGTAATCGACGTATTATTTTCCAACGAGAATCGCGTGTTTGAGTATTGGAACGAAACAGGTGGTTCAAAGAATATGTTAATTACGCAGAAGATAAATTGATGTAGAGTTTATAATTTTAATTTGCACGAAACTCGACTTACCGTTGAGATTGCGTCGATATTAGGAACAAGTTGAGTAATTTACTCGTTTTTGTAATTATTTTTTATTCGAAGTGTTGAAATAATGTTTTGGACAGAAAGGTTTGGAAAGTTTGTATTTTGGAATAATTGGTCATATTGATTCTATTTCGATTTAGCAATGAGAAAGTTGTAATTAATTTCCAAATTTTGTTTTCTCTCTATTTAGTTATTAATTTCAGTTGTCAGCGAGAGGATAAACTGCAGTAAATTTATTTCTATGTGAGAAGGTGAAATAAATTAATTATAATTCTGAAGTGATTTTAATTTACGTGGTTGATGCTTCGGAGATTGATGGTTCGAAAATTGACGCCTGTCCACTTTCAAATAACAAAGATAAGTTATGTTTGTATTTCTTCGTACTTATAACCATGATATACCATATACTCGTAATATACGCACGTGACGTCGTAATAAATCGTATTAATTTAAGTTATTTTAATTTAAAAAGTTATATAATATGTTAAATGATCATTGATAACTTTATTTAGAAAATGATTAAAAATATAATAAATATGTTTAAATACAAAGTATAAATGAGTAAATTACAAAAATATACGTTGTTTATATTGATTCATATTATTGGAAGCATGTACAATTGTTCGTTTTGATCGCTTATCATTTGATAATTCTCTTGAATGGTGTTGATATATTTGAATCTTAAAAAATCTGCCAGACTGACTATTGCTTTCAAAAATAAAATTTTGTGTAAACGAATTTAAATTTCGTTTTATTGAAAAATTTGTTCTTTCTGTTGAAGGTTAATAGTATTGTAGTTAAATTAGGTTATACATACGTGATATTGATTTAAGAGCAGAGTTACAGTGTATACATACAATTTGGGATTCAATATGAATGAAGTTTTGGATAAAAATTTTAAAACCTTATACCCACGATTAGAAACTGATATAAGAAATGCAACTTTTATCGCCATAGATGCTGAATTTACGGGTATATATTCAAGAGAAGATGTGAAATATAGGTTAGGTTCATTCAGATGCGAAGAGTTATCGTAAATATTATTTTATTTTTGTTACTAATGTTACTTTTATTTCAGTCTTTTTGATACACTTGCTGATCGTTATAAAATGTTGAAGAAAAACATTCAACAATTCATAATAGCACAATTTGGCATTACAGTTTTTCGGCACAATATCTCTGAAAATACATATACAGCACAATGTTTTAATTTTTATTTGTTTCCAAAGTCTTTCCCCTACAAAAATAGACAATTCTCATGTCAAGTATCAGCATTAGAATTTCTGCGTAAATATGGTTTTGAATTTGATAAAGTACGTTGTAAAAATATAGTTGTAATAAAATATGTTTATGTTTGTTTAAGTAAATTTTTTAGCTTATTCCTAGTAAGTATATATTAAAAATTTTATGTATTTTGTAGTTAGTAAACGAAGGTATATCTTATCTGGATGAAATAGACGAGAAATCATTAAGGTATTTGGTACAAAATGATGTAATATTTAATTTAGAATATTTATCACACGAGGAAGACATTATTTTCAAAGATTGTATAAGCAAAATTTCTGAGTGGCTCAGTAGCAAGTCAGAGCAAACGACATTAAAGCTTCAAGTTGATAGTCCTATTTTACAATATATAGTACATAAATATATAAGGAATAAATATAATAATCTTTGGACTTTATCAGACCATATGTCAGTAAGTATGTTGTATTTATTATTTTTATATCGATGTTAGAGCAATATATGGAGCTATTTATTTTTCAGATCAATGTCATGAAAAAGTCAAATATTACATGTGAACAAATGGAAAGTAACTTAGAGGAAGAATTGTTAAATTCTTACATAGGATTTTCAAAAGTATTTAAACTTTTATCCTCTTCTAAGAAAACAATAATAGGGCATAATATACTTTTGGATTTAATGTTCATACATCAACAATTCTATAAACCACTACCAGGTATATAATAAGTACATTTTATCATTTCATATAAAATTTATTAAATGGTGTAATTTAAATTTTGTTAAAAATGTGTAAAATATATATTTCAGATTCATACGATAAGTTCAAAAGTAATATGCATATATTATTTCCACACATATATGATACCAAATTTTTAAGTGGTGAATTACGAAACTTATTTCATAAGAAGGAAGGTAAATAATATCAATAACAAGAAACGTGCAACATATAAATAATGCTAAAGTTGTATAGATATATGTAGATACATTTTTCTTTCAAGTAAACTGGAAAATAAGTTCACTTAGTACATTGTATGAATACTTTACCAGCAAAGGACAAACTTTATCATACAATTCACCAAAAATTAAAATCAACAAAGAATTACCACGTAAGTTTCTCTTATGTTTCATTAAACTGTATTGTATCATATAAAAATTCTTTTCCCATTCCAAATTTTAATTTAGATAACAAATATCATAATGCTGGATGGGATGCTTATATTGCTGGATATATATTCATAAAAATGGCCCATTTATTTTGTATACAAAAATTCGGAATGTATGTTTAATGCATTATAATGTATTATGATTTATAATTTTTTATTTATCAAACAATTATTGAAGTTAACCAAAACTTAGAAATAACTTACCCAAATTATTTTTTAAGCAGCTATGAACGATATTTGTTATTTTCAGAGGTACAGAAGAAAGAGGAGTGACACATTCTGAATTAATTAATAGTATAAAAGGTTTTGAAAATTCTGTGCACATAACAAAAGGCAATGAAATGTATATGGTGAGAAGAATCTGGTACCTTTAATACGCATAAGATAATATTTTAATTCTACTAAGAATGTTTTAGAAATTAGATGGTGCGGATCCAATCTCATCAAGACCAGAATGGCTTCACATAACATCAAAGTCAACTTCTATAGATATCAAGCAGGTATTCTTAAACACGAAATTGCATTTTAAAAGTACAAAATTGCATCGTTAAAATCGTTTTATCGATTATTAATTTCTTTCCTAGTTAATGAACCAATTTTCATCTTTCGGTGTGGTGGACATAATGCCTTTGGCCCAGGGACGCGTTTTGGTGGCTGTTGGAACCCACAGAAGGTTAGTGTAAACATTATCCTTGTCAATTCTACTTTCTATTATTACATAAAGTAAAAATATTTTTCAAAAAAGGTCTCTTCAAGATGATAGACTGAAAATTAATATGTAATAAAACATTCTATTTCGATCGTTCATCGGAATTAGTAATAAAGCAATTGATGCATTTGATAATCCGCAAATAATAGTACTCGTACTTAAATACTTTTGGGCAATCGGCTCATTTAGCCTGAAATAAATTTAAACTTCGTTGTCGTCCAGCATAAATATCCTCACGGTTGGCCGTCAAGTTGACACAAGACAGGCTCGCAGAAACTCGTATTTTATGTTTTGCACATCGCGGTATTCGGGTTAGCAAAACAATGAAGCGAGATTAAAGGAAAAGGGCAAATACGGTGAATCTGAAAAGAGAAGTAACATATCGCGATTTCCAGCCATCATTAGAAATATAGAGAAAGGTAGGAAGATTTTTCGGTGTCCTTTATTTTTCCGTTATATGTTACCTCACGCATCAAGCAAATATAATTAGGTATTAAGTACGCAGTTGGTATTTTAGTATGAAGCTGCTTCGAAGTAAGGTGCCGGAACTATTTTGGATCTTATCCAAGGGCAACCGCGTATACTCATCATTGCACTTACAAAGTGTGATATCGATGCACGTGATTTTATATGACGTAACTGCATTTTCGTTTTGCCAAAATTTGTCCTAGTTAATCCACTCTTGATATTTTAGCCACGTATTGTCTCGTGAGATCTTACACGTATAGATTCTATGCAGTTCTTCTCGTCGAAGAAGTAACAGGCAAAAAACGTTTGCTTCACGCCTCAAATATGTAACGATAAATGCATTGAATTTCTTTTTCTTTTTTTTTTTTTTTCTTTCGAAACGTAACTAGACCGATATAGTATTACCATGAAACAGATTAATCATAATCGTACGTTTTGTCAGTAGAGCATCGACAAGAAAACTATAAATATCAGCGGAAAAGGTGAACGACCTAAGATCCCTTGAAGATCGTACCGAACTCGTTGATGATCTTACATGTACGATAATTTGGTACGCATTATGCTTTCCTGATTAATTCACGAGACTGGCGTTAATTATACAAATTCAATTTCACACGACTAATTCGTTAGACACCTCATATTTCACTATATGCATCATAATAAATATCACATTCACTGTTTTATATCATTAATCACTTAATCGAGAATCTTTATCTTAGATAGGATGTAATGGTTGACAAGTAGTCAATATCACAACGTGGTCGATGAATCTTATTTTATGCGAGTATCGAGTCGTTCCAACTGGCGGTAGCAACTCTTCCTTGTGGTTTATTTCTTCGGTCGGCTCGAATGACCGATCGATCGCGTTTTCTTAATTCAGACAGCTTGAAACCACAAACCATCGTCAGCGCCGATATCATCTTAGACAAATCCATTAAAAGCGCGTTTACTTTCCATTTGCCATGCTATTGAAACAACGACTACTTACACATATAAATGTATATCTCTGTCGGAAAATCACTGCGTCCTATCGTTTTATACCGTAAATTTCAACCCCGTCGTAGCGTTTATTGTTTCATTTACCACTTGATCGCGATTCTCTGCAGAATTCTTTGCAGCTGAGCAGACGTTGTAGTATTCTGGTTGCCTCGATAGAAAGTAGATCATTCGACGAACTCTCAATCATCAATGAACAGAAAACACCCCACCGAGAAAGATTTAGATCAGATTTAGAAACGAAAATTACATTAAAATTACAAATGTATACTAATATAAAATACGAAATTGAAAAGAAAAGTGTTTAGTCGTGTAACAAAATTATGGCTTACCTCTTTCCATGTATGCTACATTTTTCCTTTCTTTCTGTCTTTATTTTTCTGATTCGTTTATACAACCTAAAGGTACCAACTCTTCTTGCACGTTTGAGAAACGACGATGCTAAAATGCTGGGAAACGATAACTTGGAGCAAGAACACGAAACAGGACCGTTCAATCCGCAAAACTCGTCACGTGGATCGGGGATGCTCGCGAATCAGCTGACTTCGCCGTGCCCGAATTAGATGGAAATGAATTATCTGGTACCCCGCTATCAAGTATGCATTTTCACGAGCCCGATGCATTTTCTTTCGAAGCGTTAAGCGTCCGGTACAATTCACTCACGGCTCGCACCACGCGTTCATATATTATAAGCGTCAGATTTTCCTCGCCTCTGGCAGTCTTCCAAGAGGTTCCATATGTCTGTGTATCATTTTGCCGAGCAACTTTTCTATCGGCACGTGTATCAAATTATTTGATTTAAATGACCCATTACATCCATTACGTCGAGTAATTTTGCTCGCGTAATTCTCGATGATCCTGCTTATTTCTTCGCCGAGTTTCGAGAAGAATTGCTCCGGCAAATTATAAATCATTACGACTGAGTTTTATGTATCTGCATTACGTTATTTATGCTACATAATATCCGTGTATTTTATTATTTTATTACCGAGCATTTTATTTCGCGAATATGAAACTCGTTGAATCTTTGTCTTCGAACGTCTCGTTATTGACTCTCGTTTCTCGCGAAACTTTATAAATCCTTGGAAACATGTTCCCACGGACATTTGTCAAAGCGTGATTCGTTCGATGGATAGTACACGGACGTTGGTATGGAATAATTGTTAAATCGATGGCAATAGGAGGATAATGATTAAATAAGGTAGAGATTGGTTCCAGATTGTCGATGTTTATTCGTTAATTTTATTAATGTTATTAATTCTCATGCTTGTCTTTTAACGTGCGTCGAGCAGACCAGGTTGCTCAACGTAATCGATACGAAATTATTTTTACCCATGTATTATTAATGTGTTATAAATCGTGGTCGCTTGAAAAATTCTGTTGCAGCGCGTTGCACATACTGCAGCACTTCAAGAACAGCAAGGAATTCCAGGTGACAAGGTATAGCCGCATAAGACACGCGAAATTCACCACCATCTGTTTATGGTATGTTTAACAAATTTCCCATGTTTTATATGCTTACCGATATAGTTAGGATATGGGGTATTTAACCCTTTGCACTCGACGACTTTTTCGTTACAGAAAAATAGTAATTCGAAGACTTTCTGTCATAGAGTCGACGATATTTTTAAAATGGTAAACGAGAAATCATATGCAAACTAAGACATAGAATTATTTTTCTTCGACATTCCACACATCGTTAGGTAATTTTAAATTTGATATATTAATTAACGTCGATCTTTAGAATCTGATTAAATGGCGACTGAGAGTCACTTCTCGAGTGCAAAGAGTTAATTATTGGAGTATAGGTTTCTACAAACGTATTTTACATCGAGGGAAGTAGTAAGCTTTTGAAATACACGGCTTAAATTTCAGTAACAGTACGAATTACGAGTGAAAGTGGTTTATGCAGATTCAGTAATTAATAAGGTGGTTATTCATCCTGTGAGAGAGAAAGAAGCAAGTATCTACGGATCTGTCCTAGAACATGACGTTTAACGGCTGATTTGCTGTCGTTCGTGGCCATTTTTGGGATTGCACTAATTCGGCAAGGTTCTGCAGAGTTGTGACACGATCGAGATGAAAATTCGGTCTCGCACCGGTGAGCCCTAGATTCGATCGTCGTGTTTTCAGCTTGAACGAGGCTGTCCGCGTTACGTCAAACAAATTAATGGTCCTTCCACAGGTCTGTGTGCGGCCACAGAATCTCTAATTAGCACGAAGATTGCCGTAGATGCATAAGTGGTGATCACGGTGCCAATTGTTGCGAAGCTAGGCTCTCGCGACACCCATCGTTCCGTTACCCAATGCTGAAACGATAAAATCCTCGAATTTCGTTCTATCCTCTTCTCTTTCATATTTATCGAGAGTATTTCGAAACGAAAATACGTAATTTCGTAATTACGTAATGATCGATTTATCAATTATGCATCAGTAGCATAATGCTACCGCTTAATTACAAAGTCCTCGTTTTTCCTGTAAATTGACTTTCTTTTATCGAGAGTAAGATGACATTACCAACGATCATTAAGTTTCTTAGACTTTCCAAGTTGCGTAACTTTTTTCCATTCCTCTTAAATGTATTTTCTTCTTCTTTCACTTTCTGCACGTTTAGCTTTCGCCTAAGAGTCGAACGAATTCGATGAAATTTGATTTGGAGTTGTCGATGAACTTAGTTTGTTTATGCTGGATTGTTAGGAACTAATTCTTTCTAATTGCAGGAGCGGGATCATTATGTTTGCGAGTATTTTCACCTGGACGCTAAGAAAATGCCTGTAAAAGTGGAACAAATCGAGCAATATCGAGCTGTTACGCAATTGGTAATGTTAGCGACGTCACTGCAATCGTGTAAATTGTGACCAGCAAAGGTAATCCGTTATTTGCAATAACAGTAACGTGTGCTATAAAATTGATATATTCCGTAAATCGTAAATCAAATTGTTTTATAACAATTGGGAAACGTTTGTTCGGATATAAAATTCATTTGCGTATGAATGTGCAGCAAGCGAATCCAGATCACAGATTAAGAATTCAGTTCCAAGTTCGTCGCATTTCACAGTGGTATATTATTTTATTTATTATAAATGGAACGAAAATTGATTTATTTTCAACTTACGAGACAATATCTCTCGTTAGAATTTTTTAAATAAAATAACCGTGTAGTTTATTGTTTACTCGTTTGGCGATGTTCCTTTATTTTTACTTCTTGCACTTGGAGGAATACAGTGCCATGCAAGATTATACTAACTGAAACTATCTATTGAGAATGAAGTTCGTCGTAGAAACAGCGCAGCGTCCAAGGAAGACGATGTTCTCTAAAGAGATACATTCCTCAGTCGACAAGCTTGGATAAACTTCCTCCGACACGATTATCTTACGGACTAACAGTGCACGAGAAAGCAGAGGTAAAAGAAGAATGAAAATGTCGAGAAAGTAACGCAAGCTTCGGTTTGATTTCCGGCGTGCTAGCCAGCCCAGAAGGAGTGCCTGTGTCTCTGTCTTCCTTTCTCGCGTTCGTTCACGAACACCAGCAGCAAAATCTATTTAAATGTTAGATCGAAATCGCGAGTGGAATCTTTGCGTGAGCTGTTATTATTATTTCTCGTTCTGGTTTGTCGGCGTTCCGGGCCAGAGCCCGTTTTCGTCAAGGAAGCTATCAACCGTTGTGCCAAAGCTCTATGCACTTGTAAAAATCCGATTATTCCTACATCTGCGACGATTCGACCATTCTTCTATCATACTTTCTCTTTTTCTCTTACGCGTACACACAGAGACATGTCCATAGAAAGCTCTTTACCTTTCATCGATCGCGTCTCCGTCAATCGCTGCCAAACAACGCTGGGCGCAGCATTTGGAAAGTTCCTTTCTCGAGCTTTCTCGTACTCTGACATGTTTTGTCAAGTACAGCGTAACTCTAACACTTTGCTATGTAAAGCATGCTTTAAGGTCGAATACATTTCATATACTCGAGAAAGAAAGAGGGAAAACATTGTCAATACTGCGATTGCGTTGTATCCGGCAGGAGCTGTCGATGACATCCTTAGTCGTCTAAGTCATTCGAGAGAACTCGAGTTACACGTAGTTTGTTAAGGGCTCTCGCGAATGCCACGATTGCAGCGTTAAACGGAAACAAGGGATAAACGACACGTGACGAGTTGTATCGTAAATTTCAATGCGTTCTTGGCAAACGGTTCGACAGCCACGCTCTAGAACAACGACTTCGATCCTCAGCGTGAAACAATGTTCGATTTTAAAAGCTCGTTAAAAGAGTGACAACCTAGATGTTTTAGTAAAACCGTCGACAAAGTGACTATACCGACACGCATTTATATTATCATAGATTTCCCAGCCACGAACGATGACGAACTACGGTACGAGACAATGGTGCTGCGAAAAGAAACGGTGATCTCGCCGCGAACTCGTTGCAGTTACTCGCGAACCACTTTGTGCTACTTTGTACTTATCTCGAAACCCTGATAGCCGAGGAAGAGGCCAAACGTTCCCCGATATTTCAAAAGTTTTCTCTGGCCGCCACCCAAGGCTAAAACACTCGAAATAACGCAGTAGCAATTTGTGTGGGCGTGCTGCCGGACGGTCAGCCTGGTCACACTGGTGTCCGGTGGCAGGTGGAACAGATCTCGAGGTGGATCCCACTCTCTGTCGCTCTGGGTTCGGTTTGAACCAACGACAGATGTAAAGGTCGCGAGCGCCAGGAACGAGGTCTATGGAACTGGGTTAACCAAATTCGCTATTTTCTCCTTCCATCGAGTACCATTTATATCGCCAGCCTAGAACCACCTTAGACTATTGTTCCTTCGACATTTCTTGCTCATCCAAGTTAATTACTGGCTGTCACTCTCCTCTGATACCCGTTTAATCGGTCGTTAAAGCAATTCTCTCCCTCTATGCGTATATTTTTTGAAGTGGACAAGTTAGCTAAAGGGTGGGGGTATCGTAAATCGCGTGGTGGGGATGGACCGTTCGGTAACCTTGGATGGCCGGCTGATTTCATAGAGGCTATAGCGTGTACACTCCCCTCCATATACCTGCTAACTTCCAATAAACCGATACCCTCTTCCAAATCTAACGCAATTTACGTATTATTGGCACAGTAGGTAACTAGCGAATGTGAAATCTATTCCACGATTATAAGATCGATCTATCCTCGTTCTACATCGCGCGAACGTTAAATCTCCTCGATTCTTGACCTCGCCGAATCCCTAAATCCAGCTAGTCCATAGATCTCGGGATTATCGAGGCTTGGGAACTTGTAATTCGCAAAGAGCCTTAATTAACGAGAGCTTAGAGGCAAATTCGATCGTTCGGACTACTTTGTCAGCCGCGCAGAGCGTGGAGAACGGTATCACGTGGCTGCCCAAAAATACGTCGAGAGGTGACTCGATTCGATCGCCTTCACCTATCGGTCCGGCCAGGACTAGAGGCGAGTCGGTCGGACTGTTGAACGGACTGCCAGCAAAAAGAAGAGACGATTGAAAATACCCACGTCGGCGTTCTGGTCTCACGGTTTCGAAATCCGTGCAGCCAAGAATTGTAGTGTTTCACGAGCACGGTGGGCCAGGCTGCGCTTTTGCTTTGGCATGGACCGAGCACCTGTCGCGCGTCGCCGATAGTGGAAATAGCCGTTTTCAACGGGGAGAAACGCGCGCATGCGCTGACAGAGAGTAACGCGATTACGTGGGTGCGGCGAGATTAATTGCTTGCACCAATTACCTAAATAATGGTAAACGCGCCTACAATCACACGAGCGTAATTATGTCGCGATTTCAACCACGAAGATCGTTTGTTTCTTTGCCACGGAACCAGTCCAGGGCTCGTTCGTTTCTCCAAGATCTAAGGGAGATTATGAAAGTCGAGAGAGAAAGAAAAATAAAGGAAAGAACAGAGTTGAGAAGGAAATCCGAGTAACATCGATACAGATTTAACCACCGCCAAGAATCTTGTCTTTCTTGATCATCGGGTTGCGAATTTATGGGTCGTTAAACGTGACGCATGACATGGATAAGATTAGTCATAGAGAACTGCAGAGGGGAAAAGATCGCAACGAGCATCCGTTCACGATGCATCGGGAATACGCTTCTTGCCTGTTGATCTTCGATACAAAGATCACGAGTTTAAAAGGAAGGAAACAACGAGTGCAAGCTCGTGGAGAACGAAAAAGGTTCTTTTCTGGAAATTCGCATACATAAAGGAAATTAACGATGGGATAGGGTTGAAGTTGCACCGAAGTCACGGAAGTACGAAAATCATTTCTCCCAAGGAGGGGTAGCAGAGGTCCCAGCGGCTTCTTGTTCGAAAGCTCTCTAGGACTATTTTTGTCCATAAGCTGAATAGCGGAAATAGCCTAGCCTAGCCCCTGGCCTAGAGCGTAGGCTTGACCGGCCATTACAGCACCTCTTTCAAGGATATATCGTGACGTCACGATTTCTTTAGAGAGAAAAATCACACGTCAACGACTATCGAGATGACGTTTCCCTTCGGAACGCGAATTTTTACCCGATAACCAATTAAAATACGAATTTACGATTTTTCTCGCGAGACCAAAGTCGATCGATTCCATATGCGTTTCATCTGTTATACGCATGCGCGTGTTTCGGTTTAAATTCTAACGAGAAGCGAATACGTCACGTCGGAATACGGATTTTATTAGCGCTAAGTACCGAATATCGCATTAGACACTTTCCCTCGCGTTGTCTATCTTAGAATGGCAGACGTTACGTCTTTCTTCATCATTCAAGGCACGCAAAAATAATCCAACGTTTTAACAGAAGCATAGAATTATAAATACTCCCGAGCATATTCGTCTTATTCAAACAGATTCTGCTCCGTTCGAACCGTCAATGAATATTCTTATTTTCAGAAGAATTTTCAAACGTATCGAGTCTGTCTTTCGAAAATATGTAACTTCTCAAATATAACGCGTTATAACTATCTCTAAGTTCTAATAAAGATTTCATTTTTATTTTATTTAATCAAAATTTTATTATTTCAGAATACTTAACACCGTAATGATTTCACCTAACTACATCCCACTGCTGCTGCACCTCCGAAAAATGAAAATCATTCGCATTCCTGAATACATTTGACCAGTTCCTACAATCTTATCCTTAACATCTTTCGCACGGAATGGACCACGAAGCGATGCCACAAATTCAAAGGTGAGTGGAGGAAAATCGTTAAGATAAGCTCCGTTTGGAAATTCGTCCCACGTGATTCTCTCTACGTGGAGCCACAGTTGTTTCGTTTCGTGGCAGTGATTAGACACTGCGTTGAATCGGATATTAACAATGAACGTTTTATATCGCGGTTGTGCTACTGCTCGCTATTTATAAATACTTCCATAATTTTCTATGAATAGTTTCGGTCTCGACACGAGAACGTTACTCGCAGGACCAACCGCGAAGCTCGCGGATCGTTTCCCGTATAGTCGGTAAAAATGAAAAATGGCGGAAAGAAAACAAATAGGAGTAAGATTTAATGGGATAAATATTTTATACGATTCGCGTTCCCTGTCTTGATCGTTTTGCAAAAACTATCGATAAATTAAAACGCGTTTGGTAACGAGAGTTACACCTCTCGGTTAAAAATACAGTGGACCCGAAAGTGAACGCTCTTTGTCGAGAATCGTTGGGGAATCTTGATAGTCTATATTAATAACAATCATTACTAAAAATCTCGTAAACTTCCCGCGTAAACATAACAGCTGACTAACGTATTATTCGGCAAATTATATCGAACGTAAGTGCACATGCACTTAAGGTACTATGTCCTTCCTGCGAGCAAATCGTGTGCCATATTTTCGGTCAGCCTTTACACGTCGGGTCACCCTCGAACGCATCTTTCATTTCAAAAAGAACATCCTTACATTCGCTCAGGAATTACGGGGATCCCAATTCAGGAATCG